CCTTTAGCATAAGACTGGCTCAGGTTTGGAAACAATTCTCCAAAGTCAGCTCAGGCCCTTCCTTCATCCATCCCAGGGATCTCTGTTACTTCCCAGGTGGGAGGAGAATGAGAGGAAGAGAGAGAGAGGAAGACATGCAAGAAAGAAGAATCCCCCTCCTGCTTTGCCCATGAACAGTGGGCATGCCTTTTGCTTCCTCTTACCATTGTTTTCCATATAAATAGTTTTAGTTTATTTACTTACTTACTTGTTTTGTTAGTTCTGGGGACTGAACTCAGGGCTTAGCACTTGCCTAGCAAGAGTTTATATGAAGATAAATGCTGTGAAGAGGGTCCAGTGACAAGTCTCAATTTTATCTGTTATATCTGGCAACTCTCATGTACATATTGTTGCAGACAATGCCCCTGCGTGCTGGGAAAAGGAAGTAGCACCCTTTCATCAAAGGAGAAAAATACTCAGCAAGGCTAAGCATTCTGCTGGCCCCACGGCAGAGCTGGGGCATTCCCACCATCTGATCACAGCTGAGTGCCCCATGAGTTCAGGCACTTTCAAAGCATTTCCTGGGGTCTTCCAGCAACCTTTATAGGAAGACTCCAAGACACTGAGTGGAATGCCCATGTCCCCTTAGCTAGTATACCAACTAAGGACTTGAACTTGAGTTCAACTATTGAACTTGAGTGTTTTTGACATCAAAGCCTAAGCTAACTCCACTACTGCAATAACTGACATACTCTCCTGGATCCCACGTTCTGTGATCTAAGGACTATTTCCCATTCCCCAGTAAAGCTTAGCTAGGTTTTGAAATTTCTTCTGTCTTGACTCTGCAGACATTTACTGGGAGGGAGGTGGTCAGTGAGGGAGGAGAGATGGGAAAGTGAGGAACATCCTGGGGGGGAGAGAGGAGTCAGCAAAAGCCCAGTTACTCGTGCTAGAAGCTACCAGAGGAGTGCAGAAATGAAACCAGAAGAGAAAATGAGCAGACTTTATTGCAGACAGAATCGCCCCTGGGGCCTGCTGAAATTCCAGGCTGAGATGGGACAGTTCTTCTGCCTGCTCAGGACCCTAGAGAGAAAGGTACTTTATAGACCTACAACCATTTCCAGGAGCCTTGGGAAGAACAAATTCTACTCAGCAAAGCAGGCAGGCCTACCCAGTTGCCCTAGCAGTGGCCACATTGTGAGGTGGTTCTGGTTATATGCAGTGGGGGTTGGGGTGTGAGGTGATAGAGGTGGTGGGGGCAGTGTCAGTGTCCTGGGCTCTGCCTGCCCTTACTCCCTGCTGGGGCCTTCTACCATCCCACCATCATGGGTAGTGCGTACCACTGGGAGGCCCGGCGCCGGCAGATGGCTTTGGACCGAAGGAAGTGGCTCATGGCCCAGCAGCAGCAGCATCAAGAGCAGGTGCTTGAGAAAGGCAGGTCGATCAGGATCCTCTAGTGGGCAAGAAGGGGATGGGGAAGAAGGACAGACCCTTAGGAAGCTGCCTGCTCTCTGGTGACTTTGCTGGGGCAGGAGGCAAGCAAGGTTATTTGGAGTTCTGAGGGGGTGGGCAAGGGGAGGTATCACTTGACTCAGTTCTGCTGTTGTAAGCTGGTGGGGATGGGGTAGTAGACCTGGGAAGGTTTGTGTTTGAAGAGATCTGTTAAAAAAAAAAAAAAAAAGCTTGGGCGCCTGTGGGTCACAAAATCAGGAGGATCAAGGTTCAAAGCCAGACTGGGCAAATAGTGCATGAGCGCCTATCTTAAAAAACCCATACGAAAAAAGAGTTGGTGGAGTGGCTCAAGGTGTAGGCCCTGAGTTCAAACCCCATTACTACAAAAAAAAAAAAAAAAAAAGATCTGTCGCATGTGTTGACCCTGAATTCCTGGCTTAAGTGATCCTCCTACCTCAGCCTCCCCAGTAGCTGGGACTACAGCTGCCTGGCACAGCCTGAAAGGCTGTAAAGCTGTGTTATCCAATGTGGTTATCACCAACTAGCCTGTGTGCTATTAAGCCCTTGTAATGTGGCTAGTAAGACTGAGAGAACTGAATTTTATATTAACTTAGAGAAAACATTCAATTTACATATTAGAAAAATGTTAAGTATGTTTGGCACAACTTGAGTATGTAAATCTACTTTTTCAACTGTAATTGTACAAAATCTAAATATGATTAATTTTTTTTGAGACAGGGTACTGCTATATAGCCCAGGCTGGCCTGGAACTTATAATCTTCCTGCCTCAATCTTCTGAGTGCTGGTATTACAGGAATGCACCACCATACCCAACTTAAATATGACCTATTTATTTATTTGTGCAGTACTAGGGTTTGAACACAGGGCCTTGTGCTTGCTAGGCAAGCACTCTACCACTTAACCCACACTCCCAGCCCTTTTTGCTTTAGTTTAGTTTTCAGATGAGGTCTCACTTTTCTCCCCTGGGGTTGGCCTCAGATCAGGATTCTCCTATTCCACCTCTAGCATAGCTGTGATTACTGGCAAGCACTATCACTTCTAACTTTGATCAAATATTTTTAATGCAAATTTGCTTTCTAAATGAAGATATATACTGTTAAGTGGTAAAATAAGTACTGTGTTTTGAAGACTTAAAAATATAACAAAAAATATAACCTCTCAACATTTTTATATTGATCACACATTTTGGATATATGAGGAATTAGTTTCACCTGACTTGGCATGTGGTCACTAGTTCTGGCGATGTAGCTTAGTGGCAGACCACTTGCCTAGCATTTTGAAAGGCCCTCATTTCCATCTCCAACAGTGTAAAAATAAAATTATTCATGTGGTTCACATTTTTACTGGACAGTGCTGTTTCAAGGCAATTGAAAGGAGTCATTTTTTATCCTTCACACTGAAAACTTCTTTCAGTGCCCAGCTCTCAGATAGAAGATAAATGCTCAGAGAGTGCCACCTCCTGTCAGGGGCTTGTGACAAGGTGGCACTGTCACAAGAAGCCAGTTCTTTGGTGTTGTGGTAGGTGAGGGGAGAATCCTAGGTCCTAGAGCTTCCAGGGGAACAGAGATGCTTCTGACTACTTACACCTTTCTTTCCTATTCATTTGCCCTGCTGCTCAAAGTTTCTCTGGCAGATGGGTGACTGGGTGGGGAGGGAAGAGAATGTCACTTGCTGGGGGCTTCTCACCAGGAACTGAAGAAACACCAAGAGGAACAGCATCCTGAGAAAAAAATCCCAACCCTATCAGGAGCACAAGGAGACTCAGCCACCACTGGCACAACCACAGCAGCCACCACCACAGCCACACATGCAGCCACAGCTACCTCCGCCAATGCAACAAAGTAACCAAGACCCTCCTACTCAATGTACCTTCACACACAATATCCAGAAGGATTCTCAAATGCAAGGGCTCCAGCTTGGGTCCGTGGGGGCCCATCAAACTGGACAACAATCCCACTATATGAACATCAGATGCCAGGATGGGCCAAAAATCCTCCCAGGCCCTGGTGAGTGGGGCCTCTGGGAAGGGAGGTGGTGAGGAGACAGCCTCTTGCTCCCATCCCAGCTCTATAGTCCAGAATCCCTTTCGGCCACCCCATCCTGTCTGTCCCACCCCAGCACTCTCAGCCTTTACTGCCTTGGTGGCCACTGCCTCTGGGTGCATTTATGCTAACCTAGGACTGCAAAGAAACCTACCAACTTCTACAGAAGGTATTTGAAAAGTTGTCAACCTCTCCTACGATGAGGGTGACAGAAGAGGTGGGGATAGTGAGGGTGAAATGTGAACTGTAGGCCATCAGCAGATAAACTGAACCCTGTGAGGTCTAGAACAGGGAGCCACAGCATGGTCTCCTACTGGAGAATCTTCAGGATGGGTTCAGTCTTTGCCTTTGCAGCCTACCCTTGTCCCAAGACCCCCAGATTTATGGTAAGGAGTCTGACTTTGCTGGGTTCTATCTTTGCAAACTGCCAGATAAGTGACTTGTACTTTGTTTCATCATTAGGTGTCACCAACCCATGTCAATCTAATCCTACCACCTATTCACGACTCACGGTGAGACACCTGAAAGACAGAGGCTCTGGCTGAGTGAACATGGAGAGAGAGAGAGAGAGAGAGAGAGAGAGAGAGAGAGAGAGAGAGAGAGAGAAGTGTGTGTGTGTGTGTGTGTGTGTAGTGGAACAAGGAGATCAGAATTATTTAAAGTTGTGTGTGTGTGTGTAGTGGAACAAGGAGATCAGAATTATTTAAAGTGTGTGTGTGTGTGTGTGTAGTGGAACAAGGAGATCAGAATTATTTAAAGTCACTTCCGAGTGGCTCATTCCTCCATTCCTTGGCCCTATAAAAATGTTTAGGTAGGGCTTATTGCTAATACTAAGCATAACTAGAGGAGGTGAACAATCTATTTAGAAAGAGATATCAAAGAAGCTAAACAGATGTTTTAAGGACTGGTTGGGTAGAGGCTATTGGAGCAGGGAGAGGGCAAGAACTAAACAGATGTTGTGTTGCCAGGTGCCCATGGCACACACCTGTAATCCTAGCTACTCAGGAGGCAGAGATCAGCAGGATCATGATTCAAAGCCAGTCCTGGCAAATAGTTCATGAGACTCTATTTCGAGAAAACCCATCACAAAAATGGGCTGGTGGAGTGGCTCAAGGTGAAGGCTCCAAGTTCAACTTCTGTATCACAAAAAAAAAAAAAAAAAAAAGAGTGTGAGGGTCAGGATCATCACTCTCTGGTGGCATGAGTTAAGCTCTGAGTCTCATCCACAAAATCTGGCACTAATACTATGTCCTCTATAGAGATATCATGACTGAAGGTGACAATAAAAGAAAATAGCATCAAAAACACTCAGCTTACAGTCTGGTTCATTGTGGGCCATCAAACCCAGGATGGTTACAATTTTTTTTTTTGGCAATACTGGGGTTTGAGCTCAGAGTCTCACACTTGCTAGGCAGGCACTCTACTACTTGAAACACTCCATCAGCCCTGTTTTGTGTTGGATATTTTCAAGATAGGATCTCTAGAACTATTTCCTTGGGCTGGCTTCAAACCACCATCTTCCTTATCTCTTCCTCCCAAGTAGCTAGGATTATAGATATATGAGCCACCAGTGCTCAGTTCAATAAATTTTTTCTTTAAACCAGAAACATAGTCATTTATTGTCCATATGAGGTTGGTGGATGGTAACTATTTTTTTTATGGTGGTAATAGAGTTTGAACTAAAAGGCCTCACCCTTACTAGGCAGGTGCTCTACTTGAGTCGAACCCCCAGTTACATTGCTGGTAACTTTTTTTTTTTTAGTGGTACTGGGGTTTGATTTCAAGGTTTTGTGCTTACTAAGCAGGCGCTCTACCACTTGAGCCATCCCCTGGTAACTCTTAATGAGAGTATAAAATGGTGCAAGCTTTGGAAAGACCTCTGACACAAGTGCAAAGGGCGAGCCTGAGTAGCTTCTTTCATCAGGTTTAGGATTAGGACTAGGCTGTATAGTTCACTTTGTTTCCTCTGGCCTCAAAGGGCTTAACACAATGTTCTGAAAACAGCAGGCCTGAAACTACTAACTTTTGTTTTGCCGTTTCTCCCTTTTCTCAGTCGACTAATTACATCCAGCAGTGGTGAGCCAGAGATAGACTCCAAGACCCCACACCTTCTTACCATTCAGCAACATCTCTACTCCAGAAGAGATTAGCTGGGAGTAAAATGTGATTTCTGCAAAGAACCAGAACAGACAGCTTTGAGAATGGGATAAGGTAGGGAGCAGGAGGGCCTAGGAGGAGGATGAAGAAAGTGGAAGAGAACTTCATGCTTCTTGAGGCAAAGCCAAGGAGAGAACTTGGTCTTGGGTCTCCCAAGTCTTCCCTTGGTCCTTATTACTACTGGCCCTTATTCAGCAATAATAGGTCTGTCAGCTCATTGTCAAATGAAGTTTACTGACCATGATTTGAGCCATTATCCCTTTCCCAAGCCAGCCTGAGGAGGAGGGGCTACACCACACCAGCACAGGCCTGGGGGAGCAGCAGGACTCCTAAACCTCTTGCACTACCTGTCCCATAATGGGTACTCAGCTGTTAAATGGTTGACTTGGTGGGGGGGGGGAGAAAAGCTCAGAAAGAGGGGTACAGCTTTGGGTCTGGGACATCTGATCTTGGGAAGGGGAGAGGGACTTGTCTGCTAAAATCCTCAGGCCTCTCTTCCCAGGTCTCAGCCTTTCCATCTAGCAGGGAGAACCAGGAGGCTCCAAAGGCCCAACATCCCTCCCTCTCTAGCCCAAGGTGGAAGAGTGGGCAGGGCTGGGGGACCCTGGATGTCAGGCTTCAGGAAGATGCAGGTCCTAGGAAGTCCTTTCTGTCTTGATCCTGCAAAAGGCTTCCTCAATCACTCTAGTCATCACCCAAGTCCAAGGGATTGATGCATCATTTCATTGTAGTCGGGGGAGCATCATCTTTGGGTCAAACTGAAGAGCCCTGTCTCAGTGAGGCTGAGGACATTTCCTGAGGGGAGCAGATGGGATGGCATGGGGAGAATGGCATGGAATAGGAGTATTAAGATTGAAAGAAAGAGGGAGAAAGTGAGTTGCTGTGAGTAATCTCTCAGAAGCCAGAAAAGCAGGACACATTCTCAGGGAGGCTGGTTGGCCCTTATGCCCACTGGAATATTAAAGCAGTTTGTGAGACAGGGAGTGTCTACCAGCTCCCTCTCACTTCCAGACATTTTTTTCAACACTAGTAAGTACAGTTTATTGAACACAATATAAATCTTTTACATTTAGTGACCTATACAGAGAAGCCCTAGCCTGTTCCCTTGAACTTCTGAGCTTTGCTGGCACCACCTTGACCCCAGCTACCTATGTGTGAAGTCTTTGAGATAGCAAAGACTCCTTTCTCCCTCTGGTAGCCCCAGCTAGTTCCTACATCCTCCTCCACCTACCTCACTTTAAATTCAGCTTTCCCCACAACCTATGTTTGTTTCTCTGTCTGAAGGACAAAAATCTAGCCACCTTTAAGGAGTAAATATCACCCCTGCTCTGCCCAAGTACAGAAACTGCCTCCATGTGAGCCCAGTAGGAACTGGGGGTTACCTGGGGTTTGGCTCTAGTCCTGGTGGATGGGCTACTCTTCTCAATGTCAAAGCCCAGAGGAGAGCAGAGGCTTCTGGGAGCAGAAGGTGGGACTAGGAGCAGAGTTGAACAGAGTCCTGCAGCTTTGACTGGAGACTGACAACCTCATCTCCTGCAGGCTTTCAGAAGACAGCAGAGGTCCCAGAGTTTGACCTGCCTGTCCATTCACATGGACTCGGGATTGAGAGCTTAGAAACCCTCCTTTAATAAATACCTTTTAAAATGCCTCTGCCTTAGATGCTTTTTTCCTATGTGGACCAGGTGCCAGGTTCAGAGGGGTGCCAGGTGGCTTGCCTCCCTTCCTAGTACTTGAGCTCCTGTTGTGGTGACAATAATAAAACTGTTCTATAGAGAAAAGGAGGTTTGGATGGAGAACAGCTATCTTCCTGGGAACCATGGGCTGTCATTAACCAGGAAAGGCAGAGGGCCTTGGCCAATCTTACAGATGGATGGGGAACAAATTAGCAGAGAGAAACAGGCTATCACCATCACTTTGTCACATGACTGAAGCAGAGGCATAGGAGAACATGTATGTTCTACTAAAAGGCCTTGGAGACAGCACTGGATGTCCCCAAAGTCACTTCTTTATCACTAAGTAGAGAACGTGAAAAGGGTCCATGTTGGAAAAGCTAGATTAAAAACTATAGCTTTCTCCACATTCAGACAGGAAGAAGACTGGTCTTGATGAAGCTGGGCAACCAACGTGCTAAGCTGCAAGACAATGTCAGATCAAACTTTCCTCATAACAGACCAAGGGCAGGATCTGATGCTGACCCTGGAAATGAACCTGTGGAAATTGGAGGATCCAGTGTGTGTGTGCATGTGTGATGTTAACATTACAGAAATCAACCTGTGCTGAGGGTGTTGGGGGTAGTACATGATAAATCAGGGCTTTTCCTTTGGCAAAGTCAGTCCTTCCTTGGGCCCCACAGACTTGAGGGAGATAGGGACCAGGCTTGAAGGTACCTGGAGTACAGAAGCAGCAGACAGGTCAGGGGGGGTGAGGGATAAGCAGATGAGGCACTGACATATTTCCTCGGCAGTCCACATATTCATAGCCCTGGAAGACCACCTTCTCTGAAAGGCTCAGGTAGGAGCAGGTCAGGGTCCCCCTGGAGAGAAAGCAGACCTTGTTGTCAAGTCTGAGAGGAAAAGGACAGCTCTGGCCCTGTTCTGCTGTCTGGGAAGGGTTGACTCCCTCAGAGCTCCCTCCTCCTTCCTTCTGTTCCCTATTGTGTCAAAGCACTGGGATGGCTGCCTCATTTGTGTTCCAGCAGCTTCTAGACAGCCCCAGGGCTTTCATACCAGTAGCTTCCAAACCAGGGGAGACCTAGTAGGAGAGGCCTGGACTTGCTATTCCTCATAGCCAAGATTCACAGGGTTAGCTCTGATGTCTCCCCCTCCCACCTCCCAATGAGATGGCGCTAAGGTAGGACTGAAGTCAGATACTTACTGGATATGTAAAACCACGTGGTGGACTTTGATTTTCAGCCAGGTACAGATTTTGCTGAGAGAGAGAGAGAGGAAAAAAAAAAGAACACACATCCATGTTTCACACTGAGCAGCCTGTCAGAAAGCTCAAAGGAGCTTCCTTGTCAACCCCCAGATGCCACTCCTACCCCTTCCCTCTTCCTCTAAGGTAAGCCTGTTGGGCCCCCTGGCTACACTATCACCTCAACCCCACTTGCTGGTCTCTCCCTCAGTAGAAAACAAGACACTTCAATGGTTCAGGCCCAAAAGTCCCAGGTCACATGGATTAACCAAATTCCAGTCTATTTTCATTCCAATCTACGTCCAAAAGGCAGAGAAGCTGGGAACACTTGTCCTTGCACATTGCAGTCCTGCCCACAAGAGGGCAGGCCAAACAATGGCTGAAGAGTTTTGCTAAACAACCAGGAAACCTGGTGGATATTAACTGGGTATCTAAGCCAGGAAAGAGGGAACCAGAAGAGATCAAGGAGTACTCACTATGTGTTTTCATCCCATATCTTGCTGGCTACTGTATAAAACACCTGTCAACCAAATGGGCACAGGATTAGCTTCATGCCAGGCTGCCCTCTTCCCACCACAACATCTGTGAGCAGGGCTGGCCAAGAAGCAAGTCACCTGTTTACTGGCCAAGGGGCTGATGTGTAGAAAAAGGCTGTTGGAGATCTGCCCTACTACAAGGGACACATGCAGAACCTCAATGTTCAGCTGGGTCACAGTGATGGGGTAGTAGTTGGGATTGGAGATGTTCAAGATACTCTGGAGATGAAGACAAGGAAAGTGAAATATTGCAGAAACGTGGCTCTGGTAGAAGCCCTACCCTACCATGATGGCCATCCAGTGCAGAGGACTAGAACTGGGAGCCCCTCCAAAAGGCTCTTAGTGGCAAGGGATCACCTTTAAGAAGTTATACTGAATGTAGCGGTGAACTTCTGTAATCTTAGCTACTTAGGAGGCTGGGTGAGAGGATCACTTGAGCCTAGCAGTTTGAGATCAGTCTAGGCAACAAATTGTCTCAAAAGAAATGACAACAAAAAAGAAGTTACACTGCTTCAGAATCTAGTCTTATCCTGCCTGGCTTCTCTACATTCTGTCTTGTCCATCCAGAGAAGTCTCAGGCACCACTATCCCACTCCACCCTTGATTTATTCAACCCAGATTCTGACCCTTCACTGTGTATAGTCCTAGTCCTACATACAGTGTTATGGGGTTAATGCTGTTCTAGCTACTCCCTAGGTTCCTAGTACCCTCTGGGTGCCACAGACCCATACGTAGGGTTGCAATAGTGAATAAAAGCTACAGGGATGTGCTCTGAGCAGGTGGACAGAGCTGGAGATACCTCCTACTCACTGTCATGTTGAGGTGAATAGCAGTGTCATCAAAGACCACCGTGGAGGAGTTGAGGCCCGCAGGCTTTGCAGTGATGGACCGGGGAAACAGGAAAAATATGATGGAGGAGGAGGTCACCAGGCAGATGAGCACCGCCAGAAACACAGAGAGCTTCCTGTGGGAAAGCATCCTCCCAGGATGGAGGAGGGGAGAAGTCTGAATACCAACAAAACATACAGAGCGGTTCAGATACTCCTCTCCAGAGAAAAGGCTGTCCCCTGCATATCCTCCCCACTCTGCACATTTAGCTTTCTGGTTGTGGTCCAGCATGGGTAGGAGCACAGAATTGGGAGGCTGGCAGACTGGCTTCTGTTCCCAGCTGTGTCTCCTTGACCCAATAATACTGAGCAACCCACTTAACCTCCCAAAGCCCTAATTTCTTTGCCCATAAAATGGAGATAATTGTACCCACTTTATAGAATTTGCTATAGGCTAATAATGCATGAAAAAAATACTAACCTGTCACTGCTCCTGATAACATACCAAGAGCTCAGTGAATGCTAAATATCATTATTATACAAAATAAGTCCAGGTCAAGTGGTAGAGTGCCTGCCTAACAAGCATGAGGCCCTGAGTTCAAACACCAGTACAAAAAAAAAGTAACTCCACATGAATCTTTGAGAATTCTGACCTTTTTTTTTTTGTGGTACTGGGGATTATACTCAGGGCTTTCACCTTGAGCCACTCTACCAGTCCTTTTCGTGATGGGTATTTTTCAAGAAAGGGTCTTAAGAACTGTTTTGCCCTGGCTGGCTTTGAACTTCGATCCTCCTGATCTCTGCCTCCTGAGTAGCTAAGATGACAGGTGTGAGCGACTGGTGCCCCACCAGCCCAGTTTTTCTGTGTTGGATATTTTTGAGATATAGGGTCTCATGAACCATTTGCCTGGGCTGGCTTTGAACTGTGATCCTCCTGATCTCTGCCTCCTAAGTAGGTAGGGTTATGTGGCTGAGAATTCTTAATTTTAACATTCAATTAAGTTTAATATTCAGAACAGGATACCATCCATCTAATTAAAAACAGATATGCTCAGCTACTTGGGAGGCAGAGACAGGAGGATCTCAAGTTTGAGACTCTATCTCAAAAACAAAATGTAAACAAAAAGGGCTGGAGGAGTGACTCAAGTGGTAAATGCTTGTCTAGTACGAGAGAGGCCCTTGGACTGATCTCCAGTATTGCAAACACGCAAACACACACACACACACATACACACACACACACACACAAAACCCCCCAAAAACCCAAAAATCTGGGATATGCTATGCATTGGAGATAGTACTTTCTTAGTATCTTACAAGGGACATTACTACTTTTTATTTCCAGTGTAGTGTTGGGGGAGGCTGGATGGTGGCTCTCAGGCTGAAGTTAAGAACCTTGGAAAGGACAGGGATCATGTCAAATGGACCCATCACAAATAGGGTCACAGATATCCCAATGAAACACAGGGCTGCTTCTGATGTTCTGAATTGTTCCAGAACAGGAAGCAGCTTGTTTTTCTATCTCTACTAGGAAGAAAACAAGCAGCTCAAAACTGCTGCAGCAAGGGAAGTGCTTAGGAAAAATAACTTCCTCAAACTAACTGCAGCTATGGCCACTTGCTCCCTCCTGGGAAGATTTACAGAGCCAAGAGGTCCTTTCTGTATTTTGGAAGCAGTGATGATGTAGGAAGGACATGAAGTGGCCTCAGGTGAAATTTACTATGCTTGGTGTTACATTTTTTTGTAAGTTCTATTTTGTAATTTTCTTAACCTGCCCCCCTTTTTTTGGTGGTATGGGGGTTTGAACTAAGGGTCTCACACTTGCTAGGCAGGTACTCTACCACTTGAGCTACACCCCCAGACCCTATTTTATTTTTGATTGACACATAATTATACATACTCACTGGGTATAATGTAATGTGTGTCTATATATGTTGTGTATTAGGAAAATTAGCATATCTATGATATTTATCTTTTTTTTTTCTTTTTGTGGTCCTAAGGATTGAACCCAGGGTCTTATGAATGCTAAGCAAATGCTCTATCACAGAGCCACTGAGCCACAACCCCAGTACCTGACAGGGTCTTGCTATGTAGTACAGGCTGGCCTTGAACTCAAATCTTCCTGCCTAAGCCTCTCAAGTACTGGAGTTACAGGTGTGTGCCACCGTGCCTGGCAACACTATGGGTTTTTTTTTTTTTTTTTGGTGGTGGTACAGGACTTCATGCTTGTTAGGCAGGTGCTCTCCTGCTTGGGCCACGCCTCCAGTCCAACACTAACTTTTTTTTTTTTTTTTTGTGGGACTGGGGCTTGAACTCAGGTCTGTCATCTTAAGCCACTTCACCAGCCCTTTTTTGTGATTTTTTTTTTTTTTTTTTTTTTCAAGAAAGGGTCTCAAGAACTGTTTTACCCTGGCTGGCTTTGAACTTCGATCCTCCTGATCTCTGCCTCCTGAATAGCTAGGATTACAGGTGTGAGCCACCAGTGCCCAGCCAACACTTTATTTAACCAGGAAAATCTTTGGAAACAAGAGCTAGTATGCTTGAGCCCAGCAAGGCTCAGGCCTTGCTTGGTGGGGGGAACAATGGGAGGGAAAAAATCAGTAGGGAGCTGAATGGGTGAGATAGTAAGTGAAGCAGCCCCTAGGTGTGATGTCCTGTGGAGCTGGAGGAAGGGGGGGGGTGCTCACGTGTGTCTGGGCTTCAGCCTCTGGTCCCCATAGGGGATGAGGGCCACCAGTTGCTTCTCCAGCTCTGTAGAGAGAAAGAGAGTAAGTGGGAGGGCCAAGAAATGTCCAAGCCAAATGTTTCCTGTGTCAGCCTCCCATATGCACCCCTCCACTTCATAAAGCAATGTCAGAAGCATGATACCTCTGGTCCCACAGCAGAACTGGTAGCACTGGGCTGTGTATTGAAGAACTAGAGTGGAAGTGAGGTTTTCAATACTAGGTGTGGGCAATCTTTGAAAGTCCCTAGCAAATCAGACAGATACTCCCAGCTTCTTTGCAGAGGTAATTTGTAACTTCTTGATACAGTGTTGCTTGGGGAGCAGAGTGGCTAGGAAACTTCTCCCACTCCCCTCAGCCCATAAGGGTTAGGGGAGTGTGGGTCTCTTCAGGGAGTCTAAGGATAGTTAGCAACTCCTTCGGGAGTCTGAGTGAGACCGAGTGAGACTGGGATACTACAAACTAGGAGCAGATCTCAACCATTCCAGGAGACTCAGAGGGGCTAGTCCAGGGCCAGCTGGCTAAGAGCTCTTCATGGATTCTAGGCTATTTCTAGAGCCTTGGTGTACTCACCTCGAGGGATCTCCCCATTGCCTTGGCAGGTAGGACAAGTCACAAAGCTGGCACGAGCAGCCCCTTCACAAGGCATACAGGAACAAAATGACTTGCTGCTATCATTGCTGGAGTAGCTGGCAGTCTTGCTGTTAATGGCTGAGTTGTGGGGCAGGATTGACTTGTTCTCATCCAGCTGGGAGAATGTCTCACCCATTGTTCGGGGGAATTTTTCACTAACGAGAAAAGAACAAAGTTCAATGCTAAGCTTGTTAACATTCACACCAGATGTAATTCTGCTTTTAAGGTCTCAAGATTGGCAAGAAGCCCTAATACAATCTATGTAAGCCAAAGCCTAAAGATGGTAAGTTTGGGTGGTGACATGGGACTCAGTTCAAAAATTTCAATGCATTTCAACTTCTTTCATTATTGTAAGAGAAACCAATTGCCCTACAAAAGAGAAAAACCAGAAAAGTAGAAGCTATTTCAGTTTAAGGGACGTCCATAAGTGAATGTAGAACATTCCCCACCCACCCTCACCCCTGAAAGTTGCTGAGCTGACAATTACCAAAGGAAGGAAGTGGGATAGGGTGGGGAGGAACAAACTGGGGGGGTCCCTCCTTCTGTTCTCCCCAGTCCCGTGATTACTCTGGAGAGAACACCAAGGTCTGCTCACTGAAGTGCAAAAGGACGGCTTCCATTACTGGGCCTGGGTGGTGATGGCTTAATAGGAAGACAAGGGTTCTTTAAACAAGGAGAAAGGAGGCTACAGGTCGCAGGTGGTGCTAAAAATCCTGTCTAAAAAAATGGTTTGGGCAGAGGCAAAAACCTGTTCCTCACTGCTGAGTGGCAACAGAAAAAGAGGCCTGAGGAGGGCCACAGTAATGTCAAGGTCTGTCCTTCACCAGGAAAGGTCAAGGCTAAATTTGGTCTTTCCCCTGAAAACCCGAGTGGTGGCAGAATGGGTAAGCTGAGCCACACTCAGATCTTCCTGGGCCTAAGTACACGGAGCCTCACCTGGCTCAGGGCTGGGATTCCGGGATCCTCTCAGGTGCAAGGCAAGTTTTCTGGAATGCGCCTTTGGGGAGAAGGGTCTTTCGAGTGCAGATGGGGGATGGGGTTGGGGGTGAGGCGGGGGTTGTAACCAGGCCCTTTCAGCAGAGTCCTGGGGGACTGAATGTGCCACGCTGGAGTGTGGACAAGGGACCTTTGCCTCCGAGGAGGGCCAAGTTGCTTTCCACCCTACTCGGGAGCTGTGCCACGCACTGGCCGGTCAGTGGTCGAGGACGGAAAAGGGGGAACTTCACTGAAGGGGGGTATCAAATCCCACCTGACACCCGAGAAGCTGTCGAGTTTGGTACTCGCGTGTGCGAGGAGAAAACCCGAAAGGTCTCTTGGCTCTTGCCTGAGGAAGGGAAAGGAGGATACTAGGAGCGTCTTACCCCCGGGCGACGACAGCGACAGAAACGGCGGCTAGCGGAATCGAAAGTGCGGGAGCAGAGCACGCATCTCAAGCTTTGACGCGGTGCCTAGAGAAGCTCCGCCCCACTCCTCCGGCCCCGCCCTCACCCCGGCCCCCCCACGCCGCTGCGGTGCACGCCCCCGGGCTTTTCAAAGGTCAGCTAAGGACACAGACCCTGCTTCCGCAGGGACCAGCTTAGTCCACTTAGGAGTTTCAGAGAACATTTATTTCACCATTCTTCAAGTGGTTATGTACAAGTACAACCGGGCGGAGGACTGGACCCTACTACAAGACCCAGATGGTCAAAACAGGTCCCCCCGAAGTCGACCCAATTATACACACCCTCCCGCGCTCCGCCTTCTACCGTAAGTCCAGATAAAAACCGTTCTAAATAATGAAGAGCCTGGTTGGTTTGCAGTCTCAATTCTGGTTTATTTAGTAGCATTCAAAAGTTATACTGTAAGTAAACATGACTAATTAAAATCGCGATTCATTATAAATACCAACCAAATTAAATACTATTTTAACTATCTTTCCCTCTCGGGTTGGGGTTCAGATTTTTCCTTTTCTGAAAGCCATTTTTATGAATAAAATCTTTATTATAGTGTTTTTTATTGCCGCCTTTTTCACCACTTGCTAAGACTCCCTTTTGTGAACATGAAGAGCCCCTGGAAGCAAGCCCCTTCCTACTCATTCCTAGGGTTCAACCAAAACTTTTTTGTAGTGCCTCTGCTTGGACCCAAGTTTTGCAAAACAGCAGCCACCACTTCCTGTTCTACGTTATCTAGGGCTGGATACCTCCTCTGAATGGACTGGAACATTCAATTAAGTAATCAGCATTTCCTGTGCCTTCCCCTCTCCTCACTTGCCCACTTCTGAACTTAACTGAGATTAACGTATGAGCCTGCCTGCCTTTCATGTTTTTTTCCTCCACTCTGCTGTAATATAAGATCTGCCCTGACATTTAGAAAAAAGGTAACCATTACTTTTCCCTTTCTGTAGTAGGTGGGTTTTTTCTTCTCTATAGGATTAGCAAAATATTTCACACTACCTATTTAAGATTCTTCCTTAAATAAAAAATATATGCAAAATTACTACAATAGACACTGTTCAACAGGTGCTGGTGGGTTAACAACTAGCACATTCTTTCCTTTTGTATTTAAGATTCCTACAAGGTGCATACTCAAATGCACCCAAGGGGATCTTCAGAAAGCAAGGTGCCATTCACTAAGTCTTGCAGGAACAGGACTTTCTCCTTGAGAAAGAGCAGCAATGTTTCTATCATACTCTGGTGTCTTTTCAATGCCATATGGCTATGAGGCTTGGGGTTAGTTATAGAAATTTTGAAAATTCTTGAAGACAACCTTCCAAGGTTAATAAAAACCTGACATTTTAACAGATATCCTATTAAAAGCATCCACATGAACCAATGAAAAATACTCAAGTTCAATACAAGCAGAAAGAAAAGGTCAAATTATACTCCTCAATGCACTAACATGGAGAAAGGAGTTTTAGCCAAATCAATTGGAAAATCTCTTCCTACTACTCATCCAGTTCCTAAAGTTCAGGTCTTTGATTTGCTCCAAAAAATACTGTAACATGTATTGTCTTGACAGTTCAATGATGGGCTCTACATAGAGTTATCAGATTAAAAAACAAGCAAGGGCCTCTATTCCACACCCCAATAACAGAATAAAGATCATCTCTGAGCAGCAGTTATTTAATACAAGGTCCCTCCTCAGTAGCGGTGGCTGTGCCAGTCATTGTTGTTGACCTGAAGGAGTTCTGTCACAACCTGCGGGATGTTGTAATTGTGTTTCTTCAGCAGCCTTAGGTTCAGTGGCCTGTCACAGAATCCCATTTCAAAGAGATGGGCCATCAGGGCTGCTGTCTGGTCTTCAGAAACTATTGGCTGTACAAAGACAAAAAAAGCTGACACATTTTCTATATAATTTTAAGTGTTTATTTTGCAAATGTTTATTATCTTGTTATACTAGTTTTTCTAGATTTATTCAAAATGCTAGGTAATAGATGAGAGGGTATGGCATTCCTGTCTACCTGACATCAGTGGGTCTTCTGAGGGAGTAAGGGAGTATTTCAGGTTAGGTAGGTGGTTCCTGAAGGTGAGACAGAAAAAGGGGAGGTAATGAACTGTCCTAAGAACTAGAATGCTTCAGAGGGGACTTTCAAAAAGAAGCATTTTTTGGCCAGATGAAGGGAAAGATGAAAACAAGTCTTGGAGGCCTTATGAACATATAGGTAATTTGATGAGTGGGCCAAGTATCAACAAGATAAAAGAGACTGCTATTAGAAGACAGTATAGGAAATTTAGTCTGATGCACAAAGATGAACAAAAAACTGTTTGGGAAATTACACCCTGGGAATCCTTTCTTTTTAGCATGTAATAGTTGTACAGGGAGATACACTGTGATATTTACAAATAGGTTCTCTATCCTCCCCCCACCATGAGGCTTGAACTCAGGGCCTACACCTTGAGCCACTCTACCAGCGTCCCCTCCCTTTTTTTTAAATGAAGGTTTTTTTTGAGATAGGGTCTTGCAAACTATTGCCTGGGCTGGCTTTGAAACTGGATTCTTCTGATAGCTAGGATTATAGGTGTGAGCCACCAGTGCCCAACAGAACCCTGCTTTTAATGGACAGCAATGTGCCCAGCACTACAGATAATTCAGAGCTGGTCTAGGCCTATCTTTTATTTTTTCAAACCCCACACCTCCAAAAATAATTAGCAATAGTGATTTTTTGGGGCTACCAAGTTCTGACATTTTTATTTTTTCTACCCACTCATTTCTACCTATACATGTATTTTCATACAGATTTTCTTTTGGAACTGGGATTTGAACTCAGGAATTCATGCTTGCAAAGCAGGTGCTCCAGTCCGTTTTGCTCTGGTTATTTTGGAGATGGGAGTCTTACAAACTACTTGCCCTGGCTGGCCTGGAGCCATGATCCTCCCAATCTCAGTCTCTCAAGTAGCTAGGATTATAAATGTGAGTCACTGTGCCCAGCTTGGATTTTTTTTTTTGTGTGTGGTACTGGGGTTTGAACTCAGGGCTTACACCTTGAACCAATCCACCAGCCCTTTTTTTTTGTGAAAGTTTTTTGGAGATAGGATCTCATGGAACTATTTGCCTGGGCTGGCTTTGAACTGTAATCCTCCTGATCTCTGCCTCCTGAGTAGCTAGGATTACAGGCGTGAGCCACCAGCGCTTGGCATGGATTTTAAAAACTGACCCTGTCAGTCTTTCACACTGTAGCAGAGTAGAGGAATCTAAGAACAAATATCATGTTTAATCACTTTCTTAAAACTCTTCCCTAGTCCCATCAGTCTTCAAATAAAATCCAAACCCCTTAACACAGCATCCTGCCCACATCTGGTCTTTCCTTACTTTTCTCCTCAGACCAGATTCATCAGACTCACATTTCCAGTCTCTTTACTAGCTACTGTCTACAATGTGCTATACTGTCCTTTCCTGGCAGATACTTGCTTTGTCCTTCAGGGCTCAGTTCAAGCAGTATCTATCAGAAAGCCTATGATCCCAACAGGCTGAGGTATATATCTAATTATACCACCAGAGTATCTTACCCTGTACTTCCTTCCCTTCCCCAGGACTGGGGATCAAACCCAGGGCCTCAAGTGCTCTACCACTCGAGCTACGCCTATAGCTCTCTAACCTTATAAATGTCTGTTTCAATTGTTTCACAAAGTCTTTGTCTTGTCTTATAGTGCCAGAATAGCTACTTATACATGTAGTAGGTCCTCAGCAAACATTAGGTCCTTTTCCTTTTCTCCCCAGAATAACTTGACTAAAGTTACATCACTAGGAAATGGCGAAGTTGTGTGCTAACCAAAGACTAAATCTAGAGCCCAAGCTATTTGCACAATGCCATTGTTATCTGCCCACCCAGACAGATGGATCATTTTCACTTGTGAATTATACGTTGAGGTTTAGGAAAATATAACACTTACCTGTGCAGTGACTGGTGGCCCAGAAAATAGGGCCTTATATGCAGAGGCAGCAACAGATAAAGCCCCCTTCATCAGTCCTCCAGCAATGCCGCTCCCATGGTGGTGCCTGTAGAGGAAAACCAAATTATCTCCCCAAATAACCCATTACCACCTTCTTCTTCTTCTTTTTTTTTGGGGGGGGGGTACTGGGATTTGAACTCAGGGCCTCATGCTTGCTACACAGGCCCTAGTGGCTTGAGCCACTCCTCCACCTCGAAGCCCTTTTTTGTGTGTTTTTTTTTTTGTTTTGTTTTGTTTTTTAAGATCGGGTCTCTCAAACTATTTGCCTGGGTTGGCTCTGAACTTTGATCCTCCTGAGTAGCCAGGATTACAGGTGTGAGCCACCAGCACCTGGCTACCATTACCTTCTAACAAGATGATCTGAACAGTAATCTCAAAAGAAAATGAGATTTCCTTAAAAGAAAAAAAAAATCAGATGTAAAAAGAGAATATGACTCTTTCATATCAGTTTTCTAGCTATAAACCTTGGTTTTATGTAAAGCTCAGCTCTGCTAGTACAAGATATGGGCACTTTAGGAAACACACCACTCTGGTTATCATGCCAGCTTTCAGTTCTAGCTGAAAATTATTAATGAGGTCATGAGCATACTGGGACATCAACAGCCCATCTGTTCGTCTCTGAGAAAACACCTGGAAAAGGAAGTGTGATTTTTCTGTAAACTGCTCTTCGATGACTGGGAGCAGAAAGGCAGGTGTGTCTAAGAAAAAATTCCTATGCACACTGGCTTTCTTGCCTTCTCTGGCACTAAGGGTAAGGTAAACTTTAGGGTACTCCTTTCCTGTCTGGATTGTGAAAACACTTAATCGTAAGCTTTACCCCTCTGTCCAGTGTTGCTCAAAAGCTTTAGGAGAAATAAGAACAATAAGGAATGAGGGCTCTCCTTTTCTTTCTGAAAATGAACACAAGCTGTGAGAGGTTCTGAGGCAGAAGCAATGCTAGGATGTCCACCCGCTTCTGAAGAGAGTGAACAAGGTTGTTACCTTGAGTGGTCATAGCTCTTCAGTCTGCTGTTTACAAGTCCTGATGAGCCTCTGGGCTCTAAAAGCAAAAGAGCTAACAGTTAGATACAGCATCCATAAACACCTAGCGTTTCCTAACTCACAACAAGGCTATTATCAAGGCAGGTGGCAATCTAATCAAAGTGTCTGAAGTCTTTTTCTCTTTCTTTCTCTCTATCCTTTCTTTCTTCCTTTTACTTATTTTTTAAAAAGTTTTTGGGAAGTTCTGTGAGTGGTTTAAGTAAGTTATGAACTGTCTCAAAATGTAATGAACTTTTTATTGATTCAAAAATAAAATTCTATAGTTCTATTATACTGACATATTAGTTTTCAAATACTTCTAGGTTTTGCTTTTCGGAATGAGAAGTGATTTTGTGGATCTACTCACCACTTCACAGTGCTATTGTCCTGATTTTGCAAGTAAGAAAACACATCTAGAGACATTATAAATCAGCTGAACTATTGCAAGGTCAGTCAGGAAAGGCGGAACTAGAGCTGGAACTTAAGACTGGCCTGGCTCCAAACCTGTATCTTTCCACTACTACACAAGGACTACCTCTATGAGGTCTCACTTAATAAATATTTAGCTATAGAAATAGAATATAAGGGAGGAATGCAGAAAGAGGGAAAGGGCAAGTTTCTAAAAACTGCTAAGAATCACACAGATGCAGAGACTATCTACATGTGGTTTCCATTAGAAAGGAACAAATTTAAAAAAAGAGATGAAGCTCAAGCTTGTCATTACCTCCTCTGATCTGATCAGGGGCTGAAGAAACTTCTGGTATGGTAACTGGTAAATCCATTCCAAGGGAACCATGCTGTACACAGGGAGGACTCCTTTAGAAAAACACAATATTGAAAGTAAGTGAAAAGCACCTATGGCAATGGTAGAGAAACAGTATATACAGCACAGCAGCACCAACTTCTCTACAGAGACTTCAAATTTCTTATACAGATCCATGTGTGAATTTAGGGATCTGGTCAGAAAAGACTAAATGCTATTCCTGGCTTTCCTTTTTAACCAAACTAGAAAGCTTAGCTTTAGTCTGGTCACTTCTCCCCTTATATCAAGTGGTACTATAAAGGAAAAATGGTTTATAGTCAAGGCTCCATTTTTTTTTTTTTTGGTAGTACTGGGGTTTGAACTTAGGGCTTCACACTTGCTCCATCGTTTTTTATACTATTAGGAGACAGCAAGACTCAGATAGATCCAGTAGACAATAATTTCTATTTGGGTTTGTAGTGTATTTTTTCCCCTAATGCATTTAACTTTCTAATTATGCTTTGTTTGGGTTAATATATGAATAAGGTTTGTTTTGTTTTTTGTTTTTGCACTGCTGGGGATGGAACCCAGGGTCTCATTCATGTTAGGCAAGCACTCTGCCAAACAGCTATATGCTTATTCCCTGAATAAAGTTTTGCTGCTTTTACCTATTAATCAATAAAAGGGATGATCCAGGGAAGTTTGTGTTAAAAAAAAATTTTTTTTTGGTAGTACTGGGGTTTGAACTCAGGGCTTGGCACTTGCAAAGCAGGTACTCTACCGCTTGAGCCATATATCCAGTCCATTTTCCTTTGGTTATTTTGGAGATGGGGATCTCAGGAACTATCTGCTGGGTTGGCCTCGAACTGCGATTCTGCTGATCTTTGCCTCTCAAGTAGCTAAGGAGAGAGCCCCTGGCACCCAGCTAAAAATTGCTTTTAATAACCAAAAAGAAGTAGACAAACTATACTCAGATAAGTTAAGGTTGACTAAAACAAGTATTTCTTTAAATTCAAAACCACAAATACTGAGAAATATGATTTTTATTCATCTAAATTCAGACTTCACCATGGGAAACAGTCTCTTCCCATACTGATGAAAAAATAGGTTTTGAGGTCAAGTTGGTTCCTACCACTCTTTATTTCACCTCTGAAGAACACCCCAGCTGAAGGGGGTGTGAATAATACCTGGGCAGTGGTGGTGGAAGCCCCACCATCTCTGGGATTAGGGGCACAGTTTCCAGAGTCTGTGAGGTTGTGAAGATGTCACTGATGCTCTGTTCCTGTGGTTGGCTCTCCCCTCCAGGAAGTCTCTCTCCAGCCTCAACTGGTTCCTGCCCAGCCTCAACTCCAGGCTCGCCTTCAGTCCCTCGTTCTGGGCCAGGCTGAGAGAGTGCAGAGCTGTACATGGAGTCCCCCAAGGGGCGACTAGTATCAAAGCACTCAGGCAGGATGATGATGTAATCCTCTGAGGAAGCAGAAGACTGACTCCGAACTTCATCTTTCAGTTCCTCCTCTTCCTCCTCCACAACTTCTTCCTCAGGGATATAGATAATCTCCTCCTTCTCATCTCCAAATGGTCCCTCTTCAGGCAAGGTAAATTTCACTGAAGGATGAAAATAACCAATTTAAAAGCAGCCCCCAGTGCTACCTTTACTTAAAGCTTTTTGGATCATAAGCTAGCATTATGAAAGTCAGAAGGGGAAAACTACAGTGAAAAGCTAATGCTGGAACCATGGTCACATTCTAAGTTTAAAGACTATGTAAAACTAAGTAGACCCTAAAGTCATTAAAAAAAAAAAAACAAACACAAATAGCCAGGCATATGACAAGCACTATGATCTTACATCAAGGAGGCCCCCATCCTTTTTCCTTGCCATATGATGGTTAACAGATTGAAATAAGTTTAAATCAAAACTGATATACTAACTACCAGAGCTATAAAAAGTGGGGTTGTGAGGACTGCAGGGCTATGTGCTTACTCTCCTTTTCCTTGCAAAACTAATACACTGTCAGATGAGAAAACTGGAAAATTATGGGGAGAGGAGAGGGAAGCATATAAAAGGTGCCCATAAATCCTGTCAGAATAAAGATTGAACATTTTGGTGTAGTCCTTCCGGACCTTTCTGTTCTATCTTTTTATCTTTTTTTTTTGGAAGTACTGTGGTTTGAACTCACAGCCTCATGCTTGCTAGGAAGGAGCTCTCCCATGTGAGCCACTCCTCCACCTCCCAGACCTTTCTGTTAAGCATCAGTACACGTGTGGAAAAAATATATAGATACGTATGTACCATTTAAACAAAAGTGATACAAATCATATTTAAAAGTATAGGTCAAATTTCACTATAATATATACAAAGATTTTTCTCAGGTTATTTTTATGCACCCAAATTTGAGCTTTTAGATAGTTCTTTAAGCACATGGTATCAGCTCTACCTATCTGATGGATTACTATACAAAATTAACCTTGGAACACTGAATTTGGTACTGCTGTTTTCTCTTTCCCATTATCTTTTGGACTGTTTCCCTTAGAGAAAACAGATGCTCAGTTGTCAATTGGGGTCTCTGCTGAGGAGTTCTGTCAACTTACAGGAAGACTCTTTTCTGCAGAATCCAGGCAGCGCAACTGTCTGCTGTTCCTCTGTGGAATGCAGTTGTAATTCTCCTGAGAAAGTGCAGAAATGAGTTAGGGTGGCTTCTTTGCTTTGATAATCTAAATAGAATGGTCAGGGAAGATGTATAGAGCCTAAAGAAACAAATTGTGTGGGATATGGTGGGTCATGTCTATAATCTCAGTTACTCAGGAAGCAGAGGTTGGAGGATCAAGGTTTGAGGCCAGCCTGGGCAAAAAGTTGGCAAGATCCTATCTCAGTAAACACGCTAGGCATGGTAATTCACACCTGTGATCCTAGCTACACTAGCGGCAAAGGTAGGAGATCTCTGTCTGAGGCCAGCACCTGGCAAAAACATGAGACCCTATCTAAAAAACATAACTAAAGCAAAAAAGGGCTGGGAATGTGGGGTTCAAGTGGTAGAGTGCCTGCCTAACAAGTATGAGGCTCTGAGTTCAAACCTCAGTACTGCCAAAAAAAAAAAAAAGAAACAAATGTAATGAGTTTCTAACAAAGATCACTCTCCCTCCCTTCTCAGGGAGGAAAAGCACTGCTGACTATTCATATGCCACCCTGCTAGTTGGTAGAAAACGGACACTCACTCTGGGGGGACTTCTGTCTGCAAGGTGGGTTGTGGTCTGGGGCAGCATCCAAGGTAAGGGATCGGATTACAGTTTCACACACAAACTGTGTCCCACTCAGGTCTTCTTCTGCTTCCTCCACTGAAGCAGTGTTTTCAGCCTTCCTCTTTGCTGACACTGTGGAATCTGAAAGGGATACAAACCTTGTCTGCACTTGGTATTTAAAGAGTTGAAGGCTTTCACTAGTCATTACCCATGCTGACACTAGGTTAAGGAACAGCTGCTCTCGGTGCCATGTGGTGAGATTTCAAAAAATGACATGCTATTACATGCTGAGGTAAGGTTAGTAAGGAGTAGGTATAAAAACAGGGTGTGGTATGGAAAGGGAGGATGCAAATACTTTACAGATATTTAATCCCTTACCAGGAAATGCTTTAAATCCCGCCCCTTCACTCTCTTCCTGTATCTGCCCCAAGCCTGGCTTCTCTATTAAAGGACTGTCATGTGGCAGAGGAGACATGCAGGGAGTCATATCTGGAGAATGAAGACAGAAGAACCACCAACTGAGAAAAAGCATCACATTATCAACTGTCAAGTGTCCAGAAGCAGCAGTTCCTAAGTTTCTTGCCTCTTGCAAGACTAAGCCTAAACCCAGATATGCCCCAACACCTGTGGCAAAGAATTTCTCCAAAAGAAAAACAAAAAACAAAAACAAAAAAATAAAAGAATTTCTCTAGACCGCTAGATATGCAACTACTGTCAGATCAACCAATGCAAGAAGGATTATAGTTAATTGGCCTGGAAGGTCATGGTCAAGACACAAAACCATGAAATGTAAAGGAAAAAAGGACGAAAAATAGAGAAAAGGGAACCTTTCTTGTCAGGAAGTCTTACACAAACTTGCATTGTTGCTTCTGACAGACAACAGGGACAGGAGAAAAATGGATCACGGGTGCAGCTTTACTGTTACACGGGTGAGACGGTCCTTGCCATCTCAGATTAGAATACCCACTACCAGAGTCTAGGTTGCAGTACCTTTGTGCTTGTTAATGACATATAGTCAAGTTGAGCCAAGTGACATTCTTACCCACAGGGGTGTTGTGGGGTACTCTCTCCAACTCTTGGACAATGTTTATATCCAACAGCTCAAAGGACAGCAGGTCCTAGAAAAAAGATGGCCATGTTAGGCTGCTTGCACTGCACATTAGAGCCATGCTTTGTCATGATTTGAACTGAAGGCCATTTGCACATCATCCTGGATTCAACTCTGTTCAAATTCGTCTCTCCTCAGTCTCAGTCAAGTGGAAACAAAAACAGTTAAATGGAAACTGGAGGTTCAAATGACTAAATGGCAGGAAAGAGAAAATGCAGCCAGATACAGTGGTATATGTTTGTAATCCCAACTACTTGGAAGATGGAGGAAGGAAGATCTTCCTGGTCTGGGCGAAGTTAGCATGAAACCCTATCTGAAAAACTAAAGCAAGAAGGGCTGGAGCCACAGCTCAAGTGGTAGAGTGCTTACAGCACAAGGCTGACTTTAATCCCTAGTACCATCACCAAAAAAAAAATGCAGTGGGGGTGAAGGTGAAGCACAAAGGCTAAAATAAAGAGACAACTAAAGGGAATTGTGGGTAAACACAATTTAAAGAGGAAACACTTAGTTTAGAAATTTGCTTCCATGGATGATCTCCTTTCAATTAAATGCATCTACAGATACATATCTTTAACTGCCTGGGAACAAACTGTGGCTATACCACTTTCTCCACGAGAGAGAGACAGTCTCTCTCTCTCTCTCTCCCTCCCCTGCCTTGTTCCTTAAAGTAATGAATGTTCTACCTGGGCAGTCAGAAGGTCCACAGATGGGATGTAGAGCTCTCTCTCACTAGCAACATTTTTTGTCTTCTGCGGGATGGTGGTTTCTGCAGCTTCTGGCTGTTCAGTCTTTTCACTCAATGGGATTTCTTCTTTAGCTAGAAGAAAAGCTTCCTACAGAGACAAACCATTGGGACATATTTTAGGTCCTCAACAGAACTCAAACATCAAGATGACAATTCGTTCTCTAAAATAAAAACACTGCTGAACCTCTACGTTAAGACAAACAACTTTGTGTTCGGGGGTGTGGCTCTAGTTGTAGAGCATTTGCCTACCAAGGCCAAGGTTCCAAGTTCAAATCCCAGTACTACTAAAAATAAATATAAAAATAAAACTGAAAATTTTTTTTTGCGGGGGTGGGGGCAGTACTGGAGTTTGAACTTAGAACCTTGCACTTGCTCGGCAGGCAGTCTACCACTTGAGCTCCTCTGCCAGTCCAAAAACTACAACTTTGTATTAATATAACTTTAAACTTTAGAAAAGTTGCAAAAATAGTATAGAATTTGCATACTACCTCTTTGCCCAGCTTCCATGAATGACTACAATTTACATTAACCATAGTACTATTGTACTAAAATCAGGAAATTAACACTGAGTGACTCTAAAGTTAAGCATTAACTTAACTGTTAGCTCCACTAACAGGTGTATAAAAAAAATATGTGCCCAACAGCAAGCACAGCAAGAATTCATTAATATTTAGGGAGCATGCAGAGGGATATTTCAGGAGAGAAGAATGTCAAAGAGCAAAGCTTTAAGTTTAGTAGTTCCACAGGCCAGGCCAGGTGCCTTTCTTTCCCTTGTGCAGCCAAGAGGCTGAGTAAGCACCATTACAAAGAGATACAAAAAACATTTAGGAACTGAGTGTGCCAAGATGCTAAGGATACTAAAACAGTCCTGAGGAGTAGGCCAAGTATCAGTATATATGTATGTGTTGAGGGTAGGAGTAGAAGCTAACTGCCATGATTTGTATAAACGTCCCCCAAAAGTTTATGTGTTAGAGGCGTGGTCCCCAGGGTCATAGCACTACTGGAAGGTGGTAGACCCTTTAGGAGCAGAGGCCTTGTGGGAGGTACCTAGGACACAGAGGCATACCTTTAGAGGGAACTGTGGGACTCTGGTCCCTTCTTCCTATCCATGAAATGGACGGGAATTTTCTCTACCACCCGATCCCCCGACCAGTGCGATATGCTGCCACACCCCCATGGAGGCTAAAAACAATGGATTTGCCTAATCATGGATTGAAACTTCTAAAGCTATAAGGCAAAATAAACCTTTTCTATTTTTTTTTCTTTTGCAGTACTGGGGTTTGAATTCAGGGCTTGTAGCTTGCTAGGCAGGTGCTACCACTTGATCCATGCCGCAAGTCCTTTTCTGTTTTAGTTATTTTTTAGTAGGGTCTTGCATTTTTGCCTGCAGCCCTGTAGATCAGACACAAATCCTGCAATCCTTCCATGGCTCCTGAATAGCTGAGATGACATGCATGCACCACCATACCCAGCTTAGTGATTGAGATGGGGTCTGACTAACTTTTTGCCTGGGCTGGCCTTGAGCCACAATCCTACCAATTTTTAATCTCCACCTCCCAAGTAACTGGGATTACAGACCAGAGGTTGGTGCCTAGTTACCTTTTCTAAATTAACTGTCTCAGGTATTTTGTTTTAGTGCTGGAAAGCTGACAGACTAACCTTTCATTATTTCTGGAGGAACAACCAGTTATGAATGGGATCTTTTAGTTTTAGTCACCCGCTCCCTCTTTTTTTGAAACAAGGTCTCACTATATAGCTCGGACTGGCCTTCTTAAGTGCTTGGATTATAGGTGTGTATCATCAATATACCTAGTATCAGTAACTTTTTTTTTTTTTGGTGGGACTGGGATTTGAACTCAGGGCTTCATGCTTGCAAAGCTCTACTACTTGAGCTGCACCTCCAGTCCATTTTGCTCTGGTTATGTTGGACATAGCTTTTCAAACTATTTGCCTGGGCTGGCCTCAAACTGTGATCTCCCGATCTCAGCCTCCCAAGTAGCTAGGATTATAGGCGTGAGCCACCAGCACCTGGCTCCAGGAACCCTAACTCTTAAGAAAATAACTTGGTATACTGGGCCAAAGTCTGTCAATGCTCACCTCTTGCTGGCAGGTGAGATCATTGACTTTGCTTGAGCTAATCATGCCCTCTTCAATGTTATCACTGCTCTCTGAGGAGGGAAAAGGATCTACTATGATGCTGCACCAGACCCGAGGCCCAAACTGCTGGCCTCTGTGAGAAAGACGCCAATGGGAAGTGTATGTTCCCTCCAAGGTTGGGGCGATGAACTCCACAGACACAACTCCCACGTGGCCCGCCTTTAAACTGGGAACCAAAACATCCTTCTTTTCTGTAGAAGCCAAAGTCAAGTTTCCCCACATGAACTTGAGCTGAAAAGAACAGTTAACAGAGAAAGAAAATTTGTTAGCTGTGTACTCTGCCTCTTTAAATCACTTGGTCTTCACATTTTGTGAGAAAAATACCTTTGTGTCTGCACTCCACTTTATGTTTCCTGTATTTTTCATTCTCCAGTGTTTGATAAACTTGGTTCCTGGTTGAAGGTGAGTCCCGTCAGGCAAATTCTCATCCACAAATGCTGCACTGAGAGTTGGCATAACCGGGGCACAGGGCTGCAAAGGGAGCCTGAACAGAAATTCAGATGCTTAGTCACCTGCTGTTGGGTGTGATGGCTTTTGAATATCCCACACTATGACTTTTGAGATGCTGGCTGTGACTCTTGAGCACATACTAATGTATTTGTCTTAAAACAACAGCAACAAACCCCCCATCCAAGAAAACCAAAACCGAGAGAGAGAGAGAGAGAGAGAGAGAGAGAGAGAGAGAGAGTGAGAGAGAGTGAGAGTGTGTGTGTGTGTTTGTTAGTTAGGGATCAAACCCTGGGCCTCAAGCAGGTTAAACAAGCACCCTTGGTTAGGCTCAGGATAATAACCACCACCTGGAAAATAAGGCTCTTAGTTGCTCCTTTTGCTTCAAATTCAGACAGCCTCTACTGAAAAGAGATCACGACCAACCAAATTCTGAGCCTTATTACTTCCTACTTCTGAAGCAGTTAACAAAGCAAGCATAAAAAATAACTACCAAACCACCCTTTACTAAAGCTTGGGTCAGAAAATGGGAAGTTTTAAGGGTATGGGTGTTAGGAGCTGCCAATGTATAAGACAGAAGAAGGCTGAAATTTCAGTTTTAGAGGGCTGAACCTAAGGCCTTATCCCCCACCTTGGCCTTGGGCTTACATCAGGGTATTAGACTGCAGCAAGCTCTCAGGTCGACCCAAAGGGGACTTGGGGCTCTGAAGTCCATGGATAGAATTCCACAGATGAATCTTCCTGTGGAGTTTAAGCTGCTTTTTAAGTTCCTTGACCTCTGCTTTACGCTGTTTCTTCTCAGCTCGCAACCTTTGTTTTTCTGCTTTAAGAAAGTTCTTATCAACCTGTTTCTGGAGCCTGTGAGGTAATAAATGAATGTCTTAAAACAAAACAAAATGGATCACAATTTTTTTTTTTTTGATGAGACTGGGTTTTGAACTCAGGGTTTCACAAGCACTGTATTGTTTGAGCAGTCCATTTTGCTCTGGTTGTTTTTGGAGATTGTGGTCTCACAAACTATTTGCCCCAATTAGCCTTGAACCATGATGTTCCTGATGTAAATCTCCCAAGTAGCTAAGATTGCAGGCATGAGCCACTGGTGTCCAGCATCACAAACAAATCTTGACGCTATCTGGATTCAACTTTAGTGTCTATCAGTGTCAGCTTTTAGTTTAGTTTCTTAGTTTGTTTTATAGTTATTATTGCCATTAGATTAGTTTTTGAAAACTGTCTTCATTATTGCACATCAACTGAAAAGAAGCAGAAACAAGGAAACTATCCCTAATTTTCTAATACTATACATATATATACACACACATATATACACACACATATATATAAAATCAAATTTTTGTTGTTTGAGATAGGGTCTCAAAATGTAGTCCAGGATGACCTCAAAACTCTCCTCTGAGATTACAGGTATGTGTCACCATTCTGGCATCAGATTTCTTTTTATCACCAGCATATCTTGTGTCTTTAGAACCAAGAAGCCAAACAGAGATCAAACACTCCAAAATGTGTGTTTTTACCTGACTTGTTCTAGAGCAGCAGGGAGACGAGGAGTAGAGTACTTTGAGTGAGAAAATGGTTCAGAGGAACTCACAACTGGTCTACGTAACTTCAGCAGGACATGGTTAGTGTCATGGGCATATGGTCCTGCCTCACAATCTTCACAAATGTTGTAGGATGGACACAGGCTGTGAGGAAAAGAATGGCATAGTAAAAATGTCATAGTAGGAAGTACCTGAGGTACTTCCAGATTTCTACATTTGCTCCATAACCAGTTAGGTGGTAGCCCAAGCAGGTCACCCAACCATGCCAAATCTTAATGTCTCTCATTAATAAAAATAAGGACAATAATACATACTCTTACTTCTGTGGGACAATCTATGGGAGAAAGCAAGATATGAAAGCATTTGTAACAAGAGTGGAACTATCTTTAGTGATCTAATTTTGTGTTGAGGAACATAATTTTGCCTGTTTCTGTTAATTCAAATGCTTATCTGAACACAGAAATCTGAACAGTTACCCCTCAACTCATAAAACATATAGATAAAGAATAGCTTGTGCTTCCAATCCAGAGTTACGATAGTTTAGACAAGGAGACAGAAGACACCCAATTTCCCTTCAACTACCCAGAATGCTAGGAAGTCACTGTTCTAAGGCCTACCAAAAGCTAGCTATTCCCAAGTGACTGCTTACCTACACTGGTAGCGCACACCAACAATCTTCCTGTGACAGCTGCTGCAAGCAATATGCCAGCTGAACTGGTTTTCTGGCGAAAGCAGCGTTTCTTCTGAAGTAGGCATTGAGACTTCTGAGGGACAGGAACCCAAGGGTGGGTTCTGAAGGACAAGCTTCTCATGTAATTTCTGTTCAAGCTTCTCAACTGTTTCTTTAACCACTTGCTCTCTGAACTAAAATAGCAATCAGATGGGGAAAAAAATTCAGTTCCAATACTGGAATACATGTGAAGATACCCTTTGGTACCTGAAACCTACCACATTACAAGGCTTGTATAAATATAAAAACACCTACCATATTATACCATTGGTATAATATAAGAACATAATAAACAACTAGCAACTACTCAATGAATAAACAGAAATGTAACAAAAGGTCTATTCCTTCCATAGTTAATCTAGTTCAATGAAAACACCATGAAATCCTTTTGATGCATAAATTTCTAACTTACTCCATTTCATGACAGAGATCTGTCTCTCTCCCTTACATGCATATAATTAGATTTCCTCTTTTTCAGGTACCTCAAGGCAAAGGTTAGTGCTTTCTTGACTAGATCTTCTCTATGTCTGGAAATCTTTAGCTACTACTCTTATTCACCTGCACCAGAGACAGCAGCCATCTGGGTTTGGCTTTCTATTTTCTTTACATTCCACCTGTGCCAACAGTACTGCTAAATCCAAGCCAAAGAGAACACTCACTGTCTCCAGGTAGCTTGTGAACCAGTCTGGGGGCTTGTCTTGAGGCTGGTTTGTGTCACAAGGAGCAAGTGGAAATGGCTGCAAGAAAATACAGTCCAAGATCTATGAAGTTACTTTTCTTGTATTATTTTCCAGTTTCTTTTATCAAAAAGCAAATTATGTGGTTTTTAAAAATCAAAGTATGAGTAGAAAAGGAAAACAAAGTTTGTATCCTACTCTGCTGCTCCTTCTCTAGAAGTAAACCATCGTTTAAAAAAGTCAGAGATAGTGAGGAAAAAAAAAAAAAAAAGACAGATGGTCACAATAACTCCCAATCTTTGATGAATTCTCATGTTTTGTATCAAAGATAATGAGATATAAGGTCAACGAACTGGACATACCTGTGCTGCAGGCTCCTCTGGGGTCTTCATGTCCGATCCCAAGACTTTCACCAATGAAGAATAATGTGCAAGTGGCTTCTTCCCTGTCCTAGCAACTGCTCGTTTTTCTGCTACAACTGGGGGTGAGGTTTCATCCACAACATGGTGGCCTTCATGGACCTGCATCTGCAGTTGGTTTCCCTGCTTAACTGCCATCTGGGAGCATATGTTATGAAACAAAAACATAGTGTGATTCTCTTTCCAAACAGAAGTTGAAAGCACCAAAATAGATAAGTGTGGTGAATTACACTATGATTTTGTTGTATTATTAAATATACAGGTTGATCATTCCTAATCTGAAAACCTGAAACACAACAACATCTGAAACTTTCTGAGGTACTGACATGATGTCACAAGTAAATTCTACACCTGACCTTGTATGACAAGTTGCAATTAAAACACTGGTTCACTAAGAATACTGTAGGAAAGTATCTTTAAGCTATGTGTATGAGGTGTTTGGAAAGACTAATGAATTTCAAACTTAGTCTTGAGTCCCATTCCCAAGATATCTCTGTATTTTTTGCAGCACTAGGGTTTGAAATCGGGCCTCATGCTTGCTAAGCAGGCACTCTTACCACTTGAACCACTCTGCCAAACCTCTTTTGTGTTCAGTATTTTCAAGATAGGGTCTCACAAACTATTTGTCCAGGCTGATCTCTGCCTTCTGAGTAGCTAGGATTACAGGTGTGAGCCAATGGCACCCCATTTCTCTTTATATTTTTAAGTGATAAGATGGTGGCACGAAGACCAACAATGAGATAAGGCAACAAATGGAAGAATCTTTTTATTAGGACCTGCCTTTTATTGAGTAGGTATGCTCTACTTTTAATAGCCTCCCTAAAAAATATATGTCATAGCATTTACACATACTAGTTTCTAATGAAATTCAAATTTTAATCAATAAATATTTAAAAAATTATTTGAAAATGAAATAACCATTACCTTAAGTGCTTCTTCATATTCTCCTAAAAGGACAAAAAAAATACAATGATGTTTCAAGAGTCCTAAACATTCTATTAATTATCTCACTTTTATATGCTTTTTTGTTGTTTGTTTTGAGACAGAGTCTCATTCTGTAGCTCAGGCTGACCTCAAACCTGCCAAACCTGCAATCCTCCTTGCTTCAGGCTCCCAAGTGTTGGCATTATAGGGCCACCACACACCTGGCTAATTTTACAGTTCTAATGTACAAAATAAGGACTATAGTTAACAGTTAATAATAGTGTGTTGTATTCAGGGTTTTTGTTAAAGGAGTAGATTATAATTGCTCTTGTCTTGGAGTGGCAGAGGTAGAATGGAAGGATAGGTTACTGTGAAATGATACATATGTTATTTTTTCCGCTGTAGTAACCATTTTATATATCCCTCATCTATACATATCTCGTAACATTATGTTGTGTACCTTAAATGCATAGAGTAAAATTTATTTCAAAAAGAAGTGTAGGAGTCTCTACTCCCATTTCTTAAAAGGGGAGCAGGAAATGTTTCTTTTTTGTTTCTCCCTACTTTTATCCTGCATATTAAATTTCTTTTCTAGTAAATTTTACTATTATTTTCACTAATAAAAAGGTATAGCTAATACTGACTTAATTCTTAGCTTAAAATCATATATTAATAGCTACTACCTTGTTGCTGATAAAATCCCTACTCACCCCAATGAAAGCTACTGCAGATCAATTCTCTCCCTTAAGTCTCTTTTTCTTCGCTACTTTAGCCTTTCAGTTACAAAATCTAACCCAGCTCCTTCACAGCAGGCTTTGTGAAGCTCAAGATTCAAGGCAGTTCATAGATTGTGTTATTTCAGCTGGTTGAAACAAGGTTTTGGGAGCCAGCCAGGGGAAAAAGTTGTATGTGACAAACTAGGAGGCATATTATCTTCAGACAATTTGCATTTTTGGGGGGGGGGTGGTGGGACTGGGGTTTGAACTCGGGACTTCATGCTTACAAAGCAGGAGCTCTACTGCTTAAGCCACATTTCCAGTCCATTTTGCTCTGGTTATTTCAGAAATGGAGTCTCATGTACTATTTGCCTGGACTGGCCTCAAACCTTGACCCTCCAATCTCAGCCTCCCAAATAGCTAGGATTACAGGCATGAGCCACTGGTGCCCAGCTGAAGCTTTGCATCTTAAATATAAGAGAACCTCCACTAAAGCTATTCTTATGGTCCATTCAAAGGCACCATCCTATATATGAAAAATAGTATACAACAAAAATCTCTTATATAACTAATGCCCATGGAAGAGTGAATGCAAAGTCAATTTATAGTATGCTAAATTCTATTCTAAAGTGAGTATCACAGCAAAACTAAATATAAATGGAAATGTCTCAATGAGCACATTAAATTTTAAGTAAAGCTGAATAGATTCTCAGGGATTCACCTTGGCTGTTGATGGATACCTAAAAAGAGAAAAAAAAAAAAGCAGCAATGAATTATAAACATCTCATCAATTAAGCATTTGTTACTAGAACCAGGCTCATAGGATAAATGCAAAATCTCAGGTCAGGGGTTCAGCTTTTCATGACCAGTATTCATGACCAGTATCACCTGCTGGTCATGAATGCTAATTAAGGAATTTTACTGCTTAAATACTGTGCTCTCCTTTATTCCAACTACATTAAGAGGCAGCATAATATAAAGGCTAGGAGCATGTGCTCTGGAGCCAGAGGATATGGAATGAACACCTACTCAACTGTTTTCAAGCTTTTGTGCCTTTGGGCAAGTTACTTCTCTGTGCCTTGGTTTCCTCACGGTAAAACAGAGATGATAATAATGTGCATAATACATAATACTGTTAGCCCAACACACTGTAACTGCTCAATAAAGGTTAGCCATGATTATTTTTATTATTGTAAACAAAATGGCAGCTTATGCTAGATCTGAAATTAAAATCACTTAATTTAAGTCATCTCTCCCCCAGTACTGCCAAAAAAAAAAGAAAATTCTCTCAGATGTTCTTCATGTTGCTTCTCTATTTCTCAACTTCACCTCAGATGCCTCTAGTCTCATTAGAACATGCAATTATCAAATATATTTAAAACATGTTATAAATGAGAAAAACAGATTCTGAGCTTTTCAAACTCCACATCACTAGAGAAATAAGATCCCTATTTTGAATGCCCAGCAGTGGGGTCCATAAAATATTTTACCTCTTCATCTTCCTCATCCAGGTATTTTATTTGAATAGTGTTCAGATCAAATGAAACTTTTACCTGCAAATTAAATAAAAGGGTGGGCATATATTTCACTATATAAAAAATAAGTATTTTATTTCTTTGTTTGTTTACTTTTTGTAGTTTTGGGATTTGGCCCTCATGCATGAGAGGCAAGCATGCTAACTGTTGAGGTATACCTCCACCCAAAACATTTTATATGATAAAAACACCACAAAATCAAAAGACAGACTGGAAAAAATATTTCCAATTGATAACGGACCAAAGGTTAATATCTGCAACACAGAGAGAGAACATCAGTAAAATTGCTGATAAAATTAACAATCCAGGTAAAAATGTTCAAAAATGTACAAAATATTCATAGAACAGAAGAATATTGATAAAAGAGGAAAGCAGAATGGCTGACAAATACATGAACGGATGCTCAACTTCACATAGCAAAACAATGCAAACTAAAGCATTAAGATACCATATGAGAATAGCAAAAAAAAAAAATTTTAAAACCGTAACATCTAGTAGTATAGAACACTGCACTGAGGTATCTCTGGTAGTTTACTACCAGAAAAGAAAGAAACCTGGAAACAATCTTTCAATAAGAGATGGTTAACTACATTATGGCATGATGTACATTAACACTGTAGAATAAGCTTTGAAAGACTGAGCTTTGATCTTTATTGAGAACTATGTCTATCATATACTGTTGGGCAAGAAAAGCAAGTTGCAGAATAATATTTATTGTATGATCCTAGTACCAAATCTGCATGAACATGAAAAATGTAGTGAGTTTAGGGCTGTTAACACTGGTTATTCGAAAGAGGTGTGAATATCACATATGGGAGAGGGGAGAGAGAGTGGAGGGACATTAAAATTCTCTTTATATGTATTTGTATTGTTTCACTTCTGGTAATGGACAGGTATTACACTCTTAAAATATAAATTTTAGCAGGGCACCAGTGGCTCATGCCTACAATCCTAGCTACTCAGGAGGCAGAGATCAGGAAGATTGTGATTCAAAGTCAGCCCTGGGCAAACAGTTAAAGAGATCCAAAATGCCCAACACAAAGCAGGCTGGTAGAGTGGTTCAACTGGTAGAATGCCTGCTTAGCAAGCATGAGGCCCTAAGTTCAAACTCCAGTACTGCCGAAAAAAAAAAAATTATAATAAAGGAAAAAGGCAAGCTGACAGCTCATTTAACCACTAAGAAAAAAAAAAGACAACCCACCCCCCAAAACCCACAATTGTTTGATTTTCAGACCATTTTTAAACAAGATCCCACTTCTTTCTGGATAACCACCTGTCTAGGACAGTATACAGAGATTACTGCTGGACGTCAGAGGACTACATCAGTTCATCTTTAAGGTCTCTCTACCACTTCCATCACAGACAACCAGGTAAAAGTGGGTTTTTAGCCAAAGGGTTACATTAGATAAATACATACAAATACTAAAAAACTGACCGCTGCAAACCCAGCAAGACCACAAGAGTACAAAGGGCAAACCAAGTTGAGGAAAGCATTAGCAAAGAAAGAACTGGATGATTCTTTCCCACCTGTGGGAGGTTTTTTCTGACCAACACTAAGCTACTAGTCCAATCTTATAATCTAAAATTAATTACCAAAAAAACTCCAATAGCGGCCAGCAAGCCGCTACATGGACTCAGATAACCAGCATAAAACGCGAAACCTTATCCATCACATCGAGAAGCATCGATACAAAATCCATCCTACCACCAATTACAAAGGCACGAGACAAATCGATACAGACACCTTAAAGCTACACCACCGGACGGTCCAGAAAAATCCACACAATAAAAAACACGCGACTATCCAGCCAACCTCTAATCTGGCAATAAAAGCAACTGATAGGCCCTTGTAAAACACAAGTCATATCCTTGGTAGTTTATAACAGTAACATATCTGCTTTTAAGCAAAAGAATGTTCTCCTAGGGCCTGGCTGGGGGAATGGCCACATCAATTCACTCCTTAAACTGTTTCTAAAATAAATTGCTTTTTAAAATCCTATCTCATTTAATTTTACTTTCTCTTTCTAAACTCTTCAAAATGAACTTACATGTTTATTCCCTTTATCGGGACGTATCTCCTACAAATATTGAGCCCCTGTCAAAAATAATTTTCCAAAAGGTCCAGAAATGGTAAATATGACAGACTTAACAGCTATGAAAAAATACTGCTAAAAATAACTACCTCTGGGGGCGGGGGAAATTGTCTGCTTCAACCATTGAGAAATAACAAAGTAATACTCACCATAGCTTCAACATCAGCCCAAGTTGTATTTTCTGGATCAGAAACCAGAAAGCTTTGAGTTTCATTTTTAAAAGTCACATTTAGAGTAACCTGTGGTTCCATACTGTAGGGCTGGAGTTAAGAGGATGAGTTGAAGAGAGAGAAAACACATTAGAAAAGTTCTATAAATTACATAAACATTCAATCAATAAATACTTGTGAGGATCTAATATCTAGTAAGTGATTTAAACCAAATTTCACTATTAAACAGGAGTTGTTCCTTCTAAGAAATAAAAATATCAGTGCTTAAACTATGCCATAAAGATGTGTACTTAGATAAGGCACAAAAATTATTCTTATAGTTATTAGGAACTTCCACATTAAAAAAATAAGTCAGGGGCTGGAGGTGTGGCTCAATTGGTAGAATACCTGCCTAACAAGCATGAAGCCCTGAGTTCAACCCCCAGTATTGCAAAAAGAGAAAAACAAAAAAGAAAATAAAAAATCAAGATAGGTACAATGGTACATACCTGTAGTCCCAGCTACTCAAAATGAGGCAGGAAGATTATTTGAGCCCAAGACTTTAAGATCAGCCTGGGTAACAGTTGAGAACCTGTCACACACACACACAAAAAGTCTGTCAAGAGTGTTTAAATTATGACTACACTCACAAAACTGATCTTGCATTTTTTAAATCTGTAAGGATTTTATTGTACTTTACAGTGCTTGGTTAATTAAATATTTGTAACAAGATGAGTAAGACAGACAAGGTCTCTAGCTGGACATCGCTGTGCAATCCCAGAACTCAGGAGGCACAGGCAAGAGGATTCTAAGTTCTAGGTGAGTCTGGGATACATAATGAGAACCTGTCTCAAACAAAACGAAACTAAACAAAATCCCACAACTACTTGTTATGGGAAAGTTTAAAGCTACAAAAAACTAGGGAGAATAATATGAGTACCTATGGATCTTATCAGCTAGCTTCCACAATTACCAATTTAGGACTAAATTTGTTATAGCAATGCCCCTTCCTTACTGGATTATTATTTTTGTGTGGTGGGGGGGGCAGGGAGCTGGGGATGGAGCATGCTAGGCAGGTTGCTCTACCACTGAGCCACATGTACAACTTCTGTATTTTGACAAAACATCCTTTCATCCAAAAATAATTAAAATAATTAGAAAAAAATTATACCACTTAATGCCTAAGAAGTTAACAATCCCTTTATCAAATACCTATTCTGGTTAAAATATTTTTCTTTAAAGTTTTCCTGAGGGTTTGTTACAAAGCTCCAACATTTATTTTTTCTTCTCAACGTCCTGTTCTGCAGCTTCCTTGGCTCTTTTTGCTCTGATGCCAAAGAGCTGGGCATTGGTACCATCCATGCAAAGACTAGTTCTCAATTAAGAATTTGTTTACTGATGAGTTGTTTGTTAACTGGTTTGTTTTTATGACTTAAAAGAAAAAAACGGTTTAAAACTAAACAAAAGTGGTTCTGGAAAAATGTCAGCTCTCAAACATATTCACCAACGTACTTTTTATCTGCGGCTACAAACAGCCACATTTTGCTCCAGGAACAGGAAATAAGAAATGAACAAGATTAACTCCCAGGAGTTTCTAGTGTCATGGGGAGCAAACCCAAGATGTAGGAAGACTTGGGTTCTAGATAACTCTAGCACAATACTAGCCATATAACTGTAAGCATATAGCCATATAACTGAGTTGTTATTTAATCTGTAAAAAAAAAAAAAAAAAAAAAAGACTAATACCTCTGTTTTGCCTACCTCATGTTATCAAAGGAATCGAATAAAAACATCGGTGGGGAAGGTGAGAATATAGATCAGGGGCAGAGTGAGTGCCAGCATGTGATGGGTTCAATTCCCAGCACCACAAAAGAAAAAAAAAAGTGTGCAAGTTCTTTGAAAACATTATTCAAATATAAAAGTGATTATAACAAGCTATAGCCCTTAGGACCTTAAAATAGTTTTTCATAGACTAATGCACTGCCCATGAATACAACTGAGGGCTGGGATGTAGCTCGGAGGAACAGCACTTGCCTAGCATGAGTGAGACCCCAGCACCAAAAAAGACAAAAAAAAAAAAAAAAAAAACCTCTCCCCCAAAAAACCAAAAAACCTTAGGGTTGATAGAGTGGCTCAAGTGGTAGAGCGTCTGTCTAGCAAATGTGAGGCTCTGAGTTCAAACCCCAGTACTACAAAGTAAATAAACACTTGCTATGAATACAACTGAGACTGTCATTTTAAGAATTCTGAAATCTCTGAAGATCACATTTTTTTTTTAAAACTCAGTTATCTTCCAATTTTTTCCATTCTTTGTCTTCAGCTACAGTTGGGTTCACCACCAAAGTAACACCAGTCTCTAGCAACCCATCCTGTTGCAACCCAGTAATCATTCATATCAGATGCAATTCTTGGACACTTAAAATTTGGGCAGAATTCCTGTCAACTCCCAGGAGCTTGGGAGAAACTCAGGGACTGAGTCAGTCCGTGAACGTTCTGAAATACATTCTTACCTTCCAAGTTCAAGAAACATACTTCCACATTTTTGAGAGTCTGCAAGGAAAGTAATCTTCCTTCCTTTTTCTCAAATTACACCATTGGAAATTAGTTTAGATACTTGAACTCATCCAGCTGGTCTGCCCATGGGAGAAATCAGGAAGTGGGAGATTCTAGCTTAGCTGGACAGTATCCAAGTCTTCATAAAGAGCTGCCTATTTCTCTTTGGCTTACATGTGAAAATTCTTTCAGCAAGAGCATTGATCTTAAACTTGTGGAAACACCAAAACTAGTTAGCCCTATCTGTCCTGTAGGTTTACAGGGAGCAGTCAGTAACTGGGGCTTAAGCCTCCATCCAGCTTTCATTAACTGGTGTTAAAAGTTCATGTCTGACTCACCTTCACTTGGCACAAGTCAGCTTTTCCATTATGATTACTTTTTTTTTTCAGCCTCACAAATACCTTTAATGAAGCGAATCTGGGAACCTGAGTTTTGTTTACTGTTCCAACCAGAGGATATCAAAGTTTTAAAACGAGTGACCTGGGGCTGGGGGTGAGCTCAAGTGACAGAGCGAGACCCTTGGTTTAATCCCCAGTACCCGGGAAAAAACAAAAGTGCGATCAGGAAGTTGGGTGTCTGACAAAAATGACAGTGTCTTTCCAACACTGCGGTTCCAGACCAGGATATCTCTTCAAGAAGGTCTCAAGATGAGGAAGATGTGTGTGAGGGTAAGTCCTTGCGGACTTAATCCTAGGTTACCAGTTATCGTTTCCTAGCACTCCATGTCCCCAAGATAGTGTCAGCCCCCCAACCCCCACCTCCGAGGACTCACTCTCATTTTCTTTGCCTAGGGCCTCTTTTTTTTTTTTTTTTTGTGTTAAGGAATCATCTCGACTTTCTCTCAGCAGAAGCCAAGCGTCCTGAGGCACAGACTTCTCCACCCCCGAGTCCCTCACAACACGAACGACTCTTTCAAAAACCTGGTCACTGAAAAGATCAGACACGGAAAAAGTCACCTCCCTTTCAACTGTTCTTCCCTTTTCACTTCCCCAAACACTCTAAGAGGGACGTGACCCCACCCGTAGGTAACCGCAGCTGCTTCCTTACCAGCTTCCCGCCCCCGGGGGGCGCCTGCCAGAGGCCAGTGCGAAGACGGTTCACTGCCAGCTCTGCTGCTATCCCTGCGGGACGAATCTAACATGGCGGATAGAGGCAGATCCTCGTCCCCTGTTTCTCTGAGCTTTTGACAAGATGATTGGCTCTTACTACTTGTCCCTCAAAACCACCGCACCATTGATTGGTCAAGGCTGAGTTGGCAGGGGCGGGGCGGAAGCCATCTGAACCGCACAACAATAACAAACACCGGGGCCGAGGGGCGGAACTACTAGTGCGCAGAAGTGAGCCAGACCGGACTTCCCCTTCCCGGGCCGAGTGGGCGCCCTCGGCGTTCCCGCAGGTGGTTGATCTTAGCGAACTACTTGCCCGACAGTACAGCGCTGGGTGGGAATTGTAGTTTTCCTAGGACTTATAGCTTGTTTATCTTACTTTTTGCTCACAAGATACGAAAACACAACATTCCAATCCATAGATGTAGACGTGCATAAACCGCAAGGAAGTCTCCAGTCTACCAACTGGGTTGCTGTGGGAATCGTGCCAGCAACCAATGTCGGAAGCTCCTCTCTATAAGACTACAATTTCCAAGGAACGCTGGCGAAGGCCTTTCGTTTCACAATGCATGCTGGAAATCGTAGTTTTTTTCCCCACAACCCCTTTATTTACCGAAATTGGAGACTTCCATTGCAGCGGAAAGGGTGGGGGGAATGGGGCCTCTTCTTGCGACTGCTTTGGGCACTATGTTGCGCTCATTTTCTGGCCTCAGGTAGCGATTCCAACCCTTGTACAGCAATTACTGTGACGTAATAAGCCGCAACTAGAAGCGTAGAGGCGGGGTGGGGTTGGGGGAGCGGCCTTGTGCCTGAGAAAATTTAGCTTTCTCTTCCGTCTTTTTCTGATTACGTCATGGAGGGAAAGCACGAATGACCAATCCCGAGCGACGAAAGACTCTCGCCTCTTAGGCACCACCCTTCCGCTAACGTGTCTTGATCTTGTATTCTGAGAGGTTATTGCTTAACGGTAGCGCCCGGTTTCCGTGGCGACAGAAAGCGCGGGAATTACGGATAAACTGTAATTGCGACTGCGCGGCGGAGACTTTCTGGACCCAGTAGCGTCTGGGGTCTTCTTAGAAAACTGGGTTCCTGCGCCTGGGAAGCCCGGACGTTTTGCTCTGGGCAAAGGTGGGAGAGCCTTGGGGAAGGGAGAGGGGCCCAAAGGTCGTCTAATGAGAAGCGGAAGCTAGTGTAGATAGAAAGGTTCCCCCCAAAAGACAAAAAAAAAAAAAAAAAAAAAAGCAAAAGAGAGCAAGGTAGGTGTTTCTCGAGCTGGAGGATGTGGGAGATGGAACCTGAATGGCCCTGGGAAGGTTTGTGTTCACTGGGTGGGGCGGGGGGACTTGAGGGGCATCAGTAGTAACAGATGCTGTTGGCAGGGACGCTTTTGAGAAAAAAAGATTTTTTTACTTTTGCGGTTTGGAGTTTGAATTCACGCACTCCACCAGCCCTTTTTTTTGTGATGGACTTTTTCTTTCTTTTTTTTTTTTTTTATTATTCATATGTGCATACAAGGCTTGGGTCATTTCTTCCCCCTGCCCCCACCCCCTCCCTTACCACCCACTCCCCACCTTGTGATGGACTTTTTCGAGAGAGGGTCTCAATAACTATTTCCCTGGGGTGGCCTCAAACCGCAATATCTAACTCCTGAGTAGCTAGGATTACAGGCTTGAGCCACCAGCGCCCAAGGAGGGAGGATCTTGAGATGAGGGCAGGCCATGGGTAAACGTTGGCTAGTGTTGATATTGTCTTTGTTTTTAAAGGACTAGGGTCTCTTTATGTTGCCCAGGCTGGCCTCTGAAATCCTGGCTTCAAGCGATCCTTCTGCCTCTGTTTCTCCACGCCCTGGTTGGTTTGATTGGTTTTGGATTTAAGCAAGAAAAAGAAAACAGCCAGGAGAAAGCCTACACTTTCTAATTCTAATCCTGAATTTATCTTTTTTAGAAATTATATATAAGGACTGGGGCCATGGCTCAAGTGGTAGAGTGCTTGACTAGTAAGCACAAGGCCCTGAGTTCAAACCTCCATATCACCAAAAAAAAAAAATCACTAGATGGAGGAATTAAAAGAAATATACATATAAGCTGCTGTATTTAAAAGCCTGTTAAAGTGATTTATTTAGATGTTTTAAAATTTATATGTTAATGTTTGTTGCAACAGAAAGAAATGGATTTATCTGCAGATCACATTGACGAAGTACAAAATGTCCTTAATGCTATGCAGAAAATCTTAGAGTGTCCAATCTGGTAAGTCAGCAAAAGTTTATTCATTCGGGATTCTACCTTATATGAGTAACTTCCAAGCAAATGAGTAGAACTGAACTTATGTAATAGAGAGTAACATATAATAAACCTTAAGATCAGGCTGCTAAAGTTTCTTCTTGTCTTACCTCAAGAACTTTTGCTTCTGTTTTTTTCTTTTCCAGTACTGGAGATTTAATTCAGGGCCTCAGCTTCCTAGGCAAGTGTTCTATCACTTGGTTCTACACCCTTAGTCCCAAAGAGCCTGAAAAACAAAAGTGTTCTGTTTTTCTTCACTCAGCTTCCCTCCTCACAGCCCCTTTCTTTCCCAGTCTGTTTTTTTGTTTTTTTTTTTTTTTCCTTTCCCAGTTTGGATACTACATACTGTGGATTGAATCTGGTTTGGATTAAGTGCTCTTAGACTTTTTTCTTCCAGCTCTAAAACCAGTTTGATTACTTGGAATTGACTTAGTTAATAATGGCAAAATAAAATCACAAATGTCTTGTCTCTGTGGGGATAGGTCTTAAGAGAACCATTCAAAGAATCTGGCCCTGTACATTTAAATAAGAATATTGAAGGGACAGCAGTAGTTTACGCCTGTAATCCTAGCTACTTGGGAGGCTGAGATCAGAAGGATCTAGGCCAGCCCTGGCAAATAGTTCATGAGACCCCCCATCTCCAAAATAACCAGAACAAAATGGACTGGAGGTGTGGCTCAAATGATAGAGTGCCTGCCTTACAAATTTGAAGTCCTGAGTTCAAACCCCAGTCCCACCAAAAAAAAAAGAATACTGTAAGGCATCAAAAACTTTAAGTAATTTTCAGTGAGATTTTGTTTTTCTCCATATAATAAAGAGAGGAATGGACTATTTTTCTTCACTGAAGTATTTACACACAGTGAAATGAGATCTTAAAGAGTGTGCAGAGCAATAATGTTTTTTATTTTTTTGGTGGCACTGGGTTTTGAACTCTGGGCTTCACACTTGCTAGGCAGATGCTCTTAGTGCTGGAGCCACTTCACCAGCCCTTTTTTTGTGATTGGTTTTTTCAAGATAGGGTCTCATTGAGAAAGCCCTTTGAACATCAACTTAAATGTTAATAATGAAAGGACTGTAAAATAGGTACAGTGTGTGTGTGTGGTACTAATGAAAGGGGGAAGTGTGAATGAAGGAGATAAAGGTGAGGGTCTATGGTTGATGGACTTCATACACCTATATGAAATAGAACAAAGAAACCTCATGCAGTTGCTTTAAGTGGGGCTGGGAAGAGGTTGAAGAAGAGAGATGATGGCAGAAAGGTAACTAATGTACAATATAAGCCTAATTGGAATTGTCATTATGAATCTTCCACTGTATAACGAGTATATCCTAATAAAAAATTTTTATTAAAAAAAAAATAAGGTCTCTCTCACTATTTGCCCTGGGCTGGCTCAAGCCTGTTATTCTCCTGATCTCTGCCTCCTGAGTAGCTAGGATTACAGGCATAACCCACAGGTGCCCGGCAAAATGAGCTTTTTTAAATAAAACAAGACCTGTAAGGGCTCTACCACCTGAGCGAAGTATAATGTTTTTTTGGCAGTACTTGAGTTTGAGCTCAGGGCTTCACACTAGGGCTAGGCAGGTGCTCTACTACTTGAGCCACACACGCAGCCTAAAAGTAGTGAATTTTGACAGATGTGTGTATCTATGTAACCCAATCCTTGATAAAGATATAGAACATTTCCATCTCCCCATCCCCCAGCAAATTCCCTTATGTATATTCAGGAGTTCTTAACTTGCAGACCCTCTAGGACCATTGGAGGTTAGTATTTTTTTGTGTGTAATTTTTTAAAAATGCATTTAAAAGCATATTCAGGGCTGGAGGTTATAGTTCAATAAAAGAACACTTGCCTAGCATGATTTAGGTCCTCCAGCCCTGCAAAAAAAAAAAAAAGTAAATAAAAGTATTACTCTGAGAAAAAGGTCTGTGGCAAAGCAAAGGTTAAGAATCCCAGTCATTAGGTGATCTCTACAGTTTCTCTTAAATCTACAAAATAAGTGAAAATCCAACCTCAGACTTTCTCGATATAAAGCCAGAAAGGAAAAATTATTGCCTTCTCTCTCCTCTCCTATTTTCCACTCAAATAGGCAACTCGACTCTTTAACTAGTCTTAAGATATGTGATATATTCTCTTGCCTCTTCCTCTGAGCTGTTATATTCCTTTTCCTTTGCCTAGACAATTGCATGACTTGAAAATGTTGATTCATATTACACCCTTTCAAAGGGGCATCTCTAGACAACCCTATTTAAAATTGCAATACTCCCAACACACTCCATATCCCTCTTTCCTGCTGTTTTTGTTGGGAGGACTGGGAATTGAACTTTGAACTCAGGACCTTCTGCTTGCTAGGCAGGCATTCTGCCACTTGAGCTGCATTTCCTGATGCAAAATGGTAGTTTGAGGCTTTTTTGGGGAGGGGGAGGGAATGGGAGTTCATACTTAGGAGGCAGGTGCTGTATAATTTGATGTGCAGTATAATTTGCTCATCCTTTTTCTTTACCCAAGAGAATATAAACTCCATGAGGATATAAGTTTTGTTTGTATTTAGAATAGTACCTAGGATATAGTAGTCACTCAATAAACTAAATTAACTGATAAACTAAATTTTGCTGCACTGGAGCTTGAACTCAGGGCCTTATGCTTGCAAGGCTTGCTAGCCAGGTGTTCTACCACTTGAGCCACTCTGCCAGCCCTTTTTTGTGATGGCTTTTTTGAGATAGGGTCTTGAAAACTATTTGAACAATCTGGCTTCGAACTGAGATCCTATTGATCTCTGATTCCTGAACAGCTAGGATTTCAGATGTGAGCCACTGGTGCCCAGCTTAAATTGGTTCTTTGATAGTTTATTATTTATTTATTTATTTATGTGATAAAGCTCGAACCCAGAGCTTATTGTATGCTAAGCGTGTGCTCTACCACTGAGCTACATCCATGAGCTACACCCAGCTTCATTTTTTTTTTTTTTTTTTTGTCAGTACTAGGGGTTGAACTCACGGCCTTGCACTTGCTAGGCAAGAACTCTACCACTGTGCCACACTGCCAGCCCCCAGTTACCCTCCCCCCTACCCAAATAGCCCAGCTGGTGGCTAGCCTTGTGACCAGTGACGGCACTGCAGAGTGTCCCCAATTTTTTTTTTTAATGGTAACAGTTATTAGTTGGCAACATTCAAAGAATAAATTAAAAAGTTGCCCCTTTTGCCTCTTTACCCTCAATGAGGGAGGGTAAATTTGCCTTTGTGAAAGTTGTTTTTCGTGTTTGGAGTCAAGTAAATAAGATTAAGGAAAATGCAAGTTGTGCCTTTCAGAGAGATATAAGATTTATAAGTAACCATCTTTTCTATCCCTCATCATATCAGCCAAACAAAACCAAGAGCTAAAGGAGATTTGTACCCTAATTTATGAAATACAGAACCAGGGAAGCAGGAAATAACACTGTAGGAAGAAGATTGCTTTGAAAAGCCCAAAACTTACTTATAATTACAGAGTGATCAAAAAGTCTTCCATAATGTGATATTTGGGTCCATTTATTTTACATTCCCATGGGACTCAGTCATTAAAAACAGAAATGTTCTTTCTCATTCTGGAAAATTAAACCATCAATTAAAAATTTATATACTTAAAAACTAAAGATGCAAGAATGAAAGTTACTGATAAATTTTTATTTTTGGTTGACTATTCTGCATTTTCCAGTTTCTTACTGTGCTTTGCTGATTTTTTTTTTTTGTTTTTTTTTTTTTAATATGGAACACTTCTCCGTGTCCTTCCAATTTTTGTATATGTGCTGTCTTGATAAATGATTACTGATTGTGACTAGAAACAATGTTAGTTGTGATGACTTTAGGGTAGATCTTCAGTTCTTTTAGGTCTCTTGAGTTAAAATTCCTTTCGTTGGCCTCTTGGTGGTTATTTTATTAGTATTATTATTTGTAGTACTGGGGATTGAACCCAGGGCCTTGTGCTTGTAAATGTTCTATCACTTGAACTATGTCCCCAGCCCTATTTTTGTTTGTTTTTGTTTTGAGTCAGAGTGTTGAACTGTTGATCTTCCTGCTTCCACCTTTCGGAGTAGCTGGGATTGCAGATGTAAGCCACCAAGCCTGCCTGATTGGTGGTTGTGCATAGCTGTTTTGGTTTGGTTTGGAGTTTGTTAAAGACAGGATCTTACTGAACTCCTGGGCTCGTGATTCTCTTAGTTCAGCCTCCAAAGTAGCTGGGACTGCAGGCTTGCACCACTATTCATGGCTGGTGGTTATTTATAATAATTGATTATTCTTTCTAACTTTTTACACATAACTATATAAAATATTTTGCTTTTAGAAGAATTTGCTAAAATATGTACTATGATGGCTTCTTGTTTTTTGAAATCTAAACCTAGCTTCTTTTTCTAGTAACTTATCCTGTTGGAAGTTCAAAATATAAATATGCACTAGGCTCAAAATATTGCCTGGTATGAAAAGTGTTTAAATATTTGAATCACTTTTATAGTAGACATTTACTCTCATCAGGACCTAGAAAAGGAACATTTAAATTTTTTTCCTTTTCACTCCTATTCCATCTTCACGCTCTTCCTTCAACAGTCATCACCTTTTCACATATTGGAGTTTTCATCTGTTCAAAGTTTGTGTTTACAGTGTGTTTGTATAGCTTAGATTATAATTACCATACTGCAATATAATTATTTCAGAATTGAATCAGTGGTGAGAATGAAAGCCATCTGGTATCATAGCTAAATCCAGTTTCTCTTTTACTAAGAATTTCTTTGATAGCTAGCTTGTCTCAGATAGTGATTTGATAGCACATGGGCGTTCTCTTTGTTGGGATTGTTTTTATTCTAGTAATAATCCCAGAAGACTGCCAGGTGGGTGACTGAAGGAAACTGAAGTTCAGGTGGAATGCTTGGCCCAGTTTACTCTTAATAAAAAAGAAAACTGCGTACACTGCTGGTGGGAATGTAAACTAGTATAACCACTCTGGAAAAACATATGGAGGCTTCTTAAAAATCTAAACATAGATCTACCATATGATCCAGCAATACCACTCTTGGGGATATACCCAAAAGAATGTGACACAGGTTACTCCAAAAGCACTTGCATATCCATGTTTATTGCAGCACTATTCACAATAGCCAAGTTATGGAAACAGCCAAGATGCCCCACTACTGACAAATGGATTAAGAAAATGTATTTTTACACAATGGAATTTTATGCAGCCATGAAGAAGAATGAAATCTTATCATTAGCAAGTAAATGGATGGAACTGGAGAACATCATTCTGAGTGAGGTTAGCCTGGCCCAAAAGACCAAAAATCGTATGTTCTCCCTCATATACGGACATTAGATCAAAGGCAAACACAACAAGGGGATTGGACTTTGATCACATGATAAAGTGAGAGCACACAAGGGAGGTATGAGGATAGGTAAGACACCCAAAAAACTAGATAGCATTTGTTGCCCACAATGCAGAGAAACTAATGCAGATACTTTAAAGCAACTGAGGCCAATAGGAGAAGGGGACCAGGAACTAGAGAAAAGGTTAGTTTGAGAAGAATTAATTTAGAAGGTAACACATCTACAGGAAAGCAATGCGAGTCAACTCCCTGTATAGCTATCCTTATCTCAACTAGCAAAAACCCTTGTTCCTTCCTATTATTGCTTATACTCTCTTCAACAAAATTAGAGATAAGGGCAAAATAGTTTCTGCCTGGTATTGAGGGGGAAGGGGGGAAGAGGGAGGAGGTGGGGGCGTTAAGGGAGGGGGCTGGGGGGAAGTGGGGAGAAATGACCCAAACATTGCATGCACATATGAATAAAAGAAAATAAAAAAAATTAAAAAAAACTGGTAGTGGAAACCAAGCCTTCTGACTTAGTCCAGCGTTTGTCTTTCCATTGCTCTGTGCTGCATCAGAAGCCCCATGATTACAAGAGTTGTATTACCAAACCCTTCGAAAGAAGGCTATTCTTGTGATCTAGCTTTTCTTGTGATCCTTTTCTAAAGTTAAACATGTAATGAACAGAACGGATCACCATACTCAGCTTATTTGTTGAACTAACTTTCCTCTGGCTGGCCTCAAACTGCAAGCCTCTCCAGTAGCTGGGTTATTTTTATCTGTTCTTGTTTATTTTTCTTATCAACTTGTCTACCACAACCAGAATGTAAGCTCTATGACGGCAGGCTTTATTTTGTTTACTACTGTATTTCCAGCTCCAACAAATGGTGCTTGTATGTGGCAGATGCTTAGTGAATATTTGTTACTTTGCTAAATGAATGAATCTCAGAAAGGCCTTGGGACTCTGTGATAGACAGATAGGGATGTGAATTTCCTTTAATGAGTATTTGCTACACTGTTTTGTTTTGTTTTTGACAGTATGGGAGTTTGAACTAAATGCCTCAAGCTTGTGCACGCACTCTACCAGCTCTATTACACTGTCTTTACAAAATAATGAGAAACTGAACATTTTGATGCTACTGCAGTGGTGTAATAAATACCTATATGGTGTTTTTGCTAAAAAAAAAAAAATGAACCTAAATTTGATTGAGTCTATAAGTTTAATTTACAGGAAACAAAGAGGGTAAGGAACATATTAAAGCACACCATGGCGGGGCACTGGTGGCTCACGCCTGTAATCCTAGCTAGCTACTCAGGAGGCAGAGATCAGGATGATTGCGGTTCGAAGCCAGCCTGGGCAATTTGTTCTCGAGACCCTATCTAGAAAAATGCCATCACAAAAAATAAGAGCCGATGGATTGACTTAAGGTGTAGGCCCTGAGTGCAAGCCCTAGTACCACCAAAAAAACAAAAAAGGAAAAAGAAACCCCAAAAATCACACCATGGGGGTTCAATGGACAAAATCCAGAATGTGAGAAATTCTGTAGGCCACATGTTCTAGTTTTTTAAAATAAAAGACAGGAAAACTAGATTAAGACACTTGAGACATAAGAAAAAGTAATTGTGCATTTTGTTTGGATCATGATTTAAGCATATCTAACTATTTCATACAATTTTTATGGCACAAAAATGAGGCAAATTGGAACATTAGTTGTGTATTAGAAAGTATGGCCGGGTGCTGGTGGCTCACGCCTATAAGTCTAGCTACTGAGGAGGTAGAGATCAGAAGGATCGAGGTTTGAAGCCAGCCCTGGACAAATAGTTGGGGAGTCCCTATCTCGAAAAAACCCATCACAAAAACTGGCTAGACAAGTGACTCAAGTGCTAAGAGCACCTGCCTAGCAAGAGGCCCGGAATTCAAACCCTATTGTTGACAAAAAAAAGATGGTGTTAAAGCACTTACTAATTTTTTAGGAATAATAATAGCTTCATGGTTATACTAAAAAAAGTCTTTTAAGTATATAGTTTAAATATTTATGTACTTATATAAATATATAAGATATGTATTTGCATAAATATTTATTTGTATATCTATAGTATGCCTGGAATTTGTTTTATTTCTTCTTTTTCTTTTTCTTTTTTTTTGCAGTGCTGGGGATTGAACCCAGGGCCTCACACATGCTAGACAAGTACTTTACCACTGAGCTACACCCCTAGCCCTGGGATTTGTTTAAAAATAATCAGGTGGTCTAGATTGAATGAAACAAGAGTGTCCATCTGCTTTTTTGGTTTTTGTTTTATTTTGTAGTACTAGAAATTGAACTCAGGGCCTTGAGCTTATTTAGGCAGGCACCACACCACTTGAGCCATGCCCCCAGTCTGCCATTTGTTGGTAGTTGTTTGAAACTAGATGATGGTACATGCAGTTCATTTTACTATTTTATTTGTGTAAATGCTTGAACTTGCCCATATTCCATAAAAAAAAAGTTATCCGGACACTGGTGACTCACGCCTATAATCCTAGTTACTCAGGAGGCAGAGATCAGGAGGACTGTGGTTTGAAGCCAGCCTGGGCAAATACTTCATGAAACTCTATCTGGAAAAACCAATCACAGAAAAAGTCTGGTAGAGTGGTTCAAGGTGTAGGCCCTGAGTTCAAACTCTAGTCCAAACAAAAGAAAAAAAAAAAAAAGACATGGAGGCTCACACTGAAATTTTAGCTACTTGGGAGGTTGAGATTGGGAAAACTGGTTCAAATCCAACCTGGGCAAATAGGTCACAAGACTCATCTCAACCAATCGCTGGGTGCAGTGGCCTGTGCCTGTCATCCCAAACTGAGCGAGAAGCCTAGATCAGAAGGATTGTGGTGCCAGGTCAGCCAGGGCAAACAGTGAGAGCTCATCTCAACAGAAAAATGCTGGGCATAGTGGTACACACCTGTTACCAAAGGGACAGTGGGAAGCTTAAAATAGGAGGACTGTTGTCCAGGCCCACAGAGGCAAAAAGTGAGACCCTGTCTCCAAAATAAGCAGAAAAAAAGGACTGGAGGCATAGCTCAACTGGTAGAACACCTACCTTGAAAGCTGGAAACCCTGAATCTAAACCCCAGTATCACCAAAGAAAAAAGCTTTTGGGGTTTAAATAAGCTATAGAATGAACACTCAAAATGATACCTCCAAAAAAAAGGGCATCGATGGAAATAATTAATATGAAGTATTATCAGCTAATGATTTTCTTTGTCGGTTCCAGGGCCTTGAACAGGCTAGGCAAGTACTCTGTCAGGGAGCTACATCTCCAGTTCAGCTAATCTTTTAAATACTAATTGTACTATAGAACATTGAAGGGATCAGTATAATTCTGTGGTGGTATCTGAAAGTTTAGTGAGGGTAAGGATCAGATTTTTTTCTGCTGTGTTCTTAGCTCCTAGCCCAAAAAACATTTAATACTTTACTTGGTTATAGCAGCTTAAAGTTGAACTGCTCTATTAAAATTATATCTATTTTTAGAAAAATTATTGAGCCTCATTTTTTCTTCCCCCCTCCCCCAACTTATTTTTCTAGTCTGGAATTGATCAAAGAACCTGTTTCCACGAAGTGTGACCACATATTTTGCAAGTAAGTTTGGATGTTTCTTGTGAATCCATTATATTTTGTGCTTATTCTTTTTTTTTCCTGAAATTTTATTTTATGATTTTTTTGGTTAATCATATATTAATAATACAAGCGAATTTCCTTGTGATAATTCCATACATATGTACAGTATACCAGTATAACAAATTCACTTCCTGCGTTATTTTGTTTCTTTCTTTTTTTTTTTTTTTTTTTTAATGGTACTGGGGTTTGAACTCAGGGCATTATGTTTGCTTGCAGGTTCTCTACCACTCCACTAGTTCTTCCTCCTGCATTATATTCTCATTCCCCTACACTTATTCTTTATAACACAGGGGAACACTGAACTTTATAGAAGCTTTAGCTTCTTTAGTTAAGTGACAACAACAAAAAATTCCGAGTTATTTATTCTTCTTCAGAGAATACTTACAAAGTCATCATAAATTGGTTGTAGCCTAGTTCTTGGTAAAGTATTGACATAGTTTATCTGTTTATAAAAAGTGACTTAGAACCACCAAACAGCTCTTTAGTTTTTGTGTCTATGGGTGAAACCAAACTGTAAGCAGTTGTGAAATAAGCAACTTTTCTCTCCTCTGTATATGTCTCTGCTTTCCCCTTTCTAAGGTTCAATGTTTTGGCTGCTTTGTGATCCTTGTGAAGATAGGAGGGGATCTGGTGTCAGTTTATATTTAGGCTGAAAATCATTCATGCAAATGATTCAGGTTATTCATTTAGCCTTCCATAGCTTTAGGTTCTATCCACAGAGTCAACCAACCATAGGTTGAAGATATTCAGGTAAAAAATTGTATCTGCGCTGAACATGTGCAGATCTTTTCTTTTCATTCTCTAAGCAGTAGTATAGCTATTTACATAGCACTTACACTGTATTAGGTATTATAAGTAATTAGAGATGATTTAAAGTATAGGGAGGTTGTACTTGTATGCAAATACTGTATCATTTCATAAGGCACTTGAGCATCTGAAGACTTTGGTATCTATGGGCAGTATTGGAACAAATTCTCCCCCATACTGAGGGATGACTATATTTACATATTTAAGGATCTTTCCCTTTGAAATGAAAATATTTGTTTCTTGAGAGCTTGTTTGGAGGTTCTAGCAGGGGAGCGCAGCTACTCGTATACCCTTGACCGAAGAACGGTCCTCCTCTATCGGGGATGGTCTCCTCTTCGACCGAGCGCGCACTCGGAGGACGCACATGGAGCGTGAGGAGAAGGGACACCGCCTAGCCAGCCAGATCAGCCGAATCAACCCTGGCGATCAATGGGGTGACAGATGTCGCAGCCAGATCGCCCTCACATCCGAAAATATTTGTTTCTTAATGGGAGAATTTCAGGAAAAAAAAAGTAGAGTAGGTAATTTAGTGGAACAAGGGGACTTTCTGCTTTCCCTGAAAGTCTGTTGTATTTAAAACTATGGGCATGTACTTTTTCTGAGAAGACCATAATTTTCATCAATCTTAGAATGTTTCCATAACCTAAAAAAGGGAACAGCTGCTGCTTTAAGGATAATGAGTGCTGGCTGAAACTGCAGGAAACCTGTTCCCTTTGGAGGGATACCCTCTGATACACAAGTCTGCCAGCTGGCTGGTGTCTTCTTCCTTTTGAATTCTGTTATCTTCTCATTCTTCTGTCCCAACAAGGATCCAGAAGCCCATTCCCACTACCTTACTCCTTTCCCATATCATCACACTGGTTTAGATCTGTTCCCAACGGTTCCCTTATGATTCTTCAGCTCATTCTTTCTGACCATGTACCAGGACAATATAGCTTTATTACTGACCTGCTTTAAGAATTTTATGCTTCTGGGCTGGAGGTTTGGCTCAGTGGTACAGTGCCTGCCTGGCAAGTATGAGGCAAAGAAAATAAAGTCACAGTATTTAAAAGATTACAGATAGCTAAAGATTAAGCATTTATTTATTTATTATTTAGCATGGTGGGGATCAAACCCATAGCCCCCTGCATACTAGGCCAGCACTTTACCACGGAGCCACATCACCAGGCCTAAAGATTAACCTTTTAAATGCTGGGACTTTGGCTGTTTCTCAGTGAGAATCTTTTTAATAAGTACTCTATGCTTACCTGTCACTTAGTAATGAATACTGAATATATTTATAGTGAGTTAAGGAAAGATTAAATTAGGGGCCGGGGTAAAGGTCAATGGTAGAGCATGTGCTTAGAATTCAGGAGGTCCTGAGTTCAATTGCCAGGACAAAAGGAAGGAAGGAAGGGAGGGATTAAAGAAAGGAAATATTACATGATAGTTACTTTGAGAGCTTCTGGAAGAATGTAATTATATGCAAAGGAAATAACGAAAATAACAAAAGTATGAAGAGAAGAAAATAGAATATGTCCAGGAAAAAGAAACTAACTTTGCATGTGTTCACAGGATTTGTGTTTGTAGAGGAAGGAACCTTCAGAGAGGAAAAGACATAAGAAAATGTGCAAGAGGAGGCACAAGTGTTTGGAAATGGAAAATGGATATAGAAGGAGAGGTGGTTGTTACTCATAAACAGTAATAAGTGAAAAAGAGTAATTCTACAGAAAGATTCTGGGGGGCTGGTGAGGGAAGTTAAGGTAGTTGAGTTCAGTAATGTTGAAAGTAAAGCCAGCTGTTGAGATTGAGAAGGTTAGAGTCGGCAACTGGGAGGGAGTGAGAAAGACTTACAGCTCCTAATATGGAGAATGTGATAGACAGTAAGAGAACCAGCCATATTTCAAATTGTGTTTTCAATGATATACTAGTTGGATGTGGTTTGAATGTGTCCTCTGAGGCTTCATGTGTTGAAGTTTCAATTCTCACTGTGAGCTATTAAGAGGGTGGAAACTTAATCTGACTGCAGTGTTTACAGGTGGGACCTGTGGAAGGTTTAGGCAAGGTCTTTAGGGTGGAGTCTTCATGATTGAATACTTGCAGCTTTATCAGAAGAGAAGCACCAAGGGCCACACACAAGTGCTCCTTGTTTCTCGTCAGATAATCCCCTGTGCTGCCCCAGGATTCTGCCAGCAGACAGGCCAGCAGATGCCTTGAGCCTCCTAACCTGCAAGCTAAGTAAACTTCTTTCCCTTATTAGGTTACCCAGGCTCATATATTTTGTTTCATTAATGCAGAATAGACTAATACAATGCCTATATACACATCAACTTTTTCACAAGTATCTCTGCTATTATACCTTCATAATCTGTATAATACCTTGATCTATATGATAAGAAAGCTGGGGAAATACCCCCAAGCATCATTTGTATTTTCTCTGGATGAACTGTAATTGATAAAAATAAAACTGCTGGCTAGAAAATGGTGGTGCACACCTGTAATCTCAGCACTCAGGAGATGGAGGCAGGAAGATCACAAGTTAGAGGCCAGCCTGGGCTACATAGCAAGTCCTTGTCTCAAAAAAAAGCCCCAAAATAAATAAATAAAGCAGCTTTTTTGACTTGAGCGAGCCTGTAGTACTGAAATCTTTTAAGATATATACCAAGAAGACAATAGTACCAATCTGGGAAAAAATTACCTAAGACATCCATGGATTGGTTTGAAGTTTCTAAATAATAAATAAAATGTGTAATACCTTTTAGAAGATCTAGACTGCATTGTCCAAAGAGTCATACGAGTCATAAATGTAACTTAAAGTTTTTAGTAGTAACATTTTTTAAAGTAAAAAGAAGTCAGGCACTGGTGGCTCACGCCTGTAATCCTAGCTACTTGGGAAGCAGGGATCAGGAGGATTGTGGTTCAAGGTCAGCACTGGCAAAAAGTGGGAACCTATCTCAAAAATACCCAACACAAAAAAAGGATTGGCAGAGTGGCTCAAGTGGGAAGCACTAGGCCCTGAGTTCAAACCCCAGTACTGCCAAAAAAAAAAAAAAATGAAAGAAAAGAAATAGGTAAAAGAATATAATCAATGTAAAAAATATTAATGAAAAAGAAAAAAACAGCAAAAAAAGAAATATGAATGAGCTATTTGACCTTTTTTTTTTTTTTAACTAAGTCTGTGTTATGTTTTGGATATAAAGTTCCCCCGCCACCAAAAAAAAAAAGACTCATGGGTTAAGACTTGATCCCCAGCTGGTAAAAGCCAGTCATTGACAGGTGATTGGGTCATGAAGCTCTGACCCAATCAATGAATTAATCCACTGATGGAGCCATAATTTGTTGGCATTACTGGGAGGTGATAAACTTCCAGGGGTGGAACCTAATTGGAGGAACTAGGTCATGAGGGTGTGTCCTTGGGGATTGTATTTTGTGCTAGGGTTCTCTCGCTGGCTCATTCACTTACTCTCTCACTCTTGTCACTCAGTAGATCTCACTGTGTTGCCCCAGCTATTTCCAACTCCTCTGTTCAAGTGATCTTCCTTCCTCAGCCTCCTGAGTGCTGGGACTACCCAAGACATTCTTAAATACATTAAGGTTTGAGAGCCAGTGTTTTGGATTGATGGCCTTCATATATATTTTTTGATGCACAGGAAGATGGACCAGACCAGGGTAGTTAAGGTGTAAAAACCAGATAGACCAAGTAAGGCAAGTTATGGGTTCCGACTATGGACATCCAGATGAGTGATGAGTTGGTGTTAGGCAGATTTGATGTCTAGGTGCATTAGATCATGATACCAGGGAATTCTGGAATCTAGTAACTGGTGTGGTGTGTCAGAGAAATTCAGAAATGCACAAGAGATGGACTATCGAGCAAATATGTTGAACATTGTCTCTCAGGAACCTAGTAGCAAAAAATGAGCAGAAGTGCAGGATGGTGGTTATAAGAGAAGAAAAATAGGAGGAATCTAACCACAGAAGGTAGAGGGTTAGGGTATGATTCTTATCTATAGAAGGCAAGAGCCTTGACTCAATGGACTGGGATATCAAGCAAAAAATGTAGGCAGAATCTCCCAGTAGAAGAGCTCAACATAGATGCTTAATTATTGAAACAATAGTACAAACGAGGTTTGATGAAGAAAATAAAACTTTAAGCCAGGTGTGGTGACTCAAGTCTGTTATCCTTGCTACTTGGGAGGTGATTTGGAGGATCACAGCTAGAGGCTAGCAAGAGCAAAAAGTACGTGAGACCCTATCTCAATCCAATAAAAAGCTTGGCATATTGGCACTCCTCCTGTTATTCCAGCTAGGAGAAGAAGCCTAAATAGAAAGATCATGATCCCAGGCCAGCCCAGGCCATGAATGCAAGGCAAGGTCCTATCTCAAAAGTAACCAAAGCAAAAAGGGCTGAGGGCTTGGCTAGCATGGTAGAGCACCTGCCTAGCAAGCATTCAAGACCTGAACCCTGAGTTCAAGCTTCAGTACTGCCCAAAGAGGAAAGAAAAAAACAATACAAAACAGTGCCTTATTGTTAAGTGACAAGGTTTGATGATGATGTGACCAGTAACATAAATGAATGCTGCTGTGCCAAGCTTTGGATCTCTGTGTATCTGCATTTCCTTTCCTACAGGCTATTTTGGTCCATAATCTTAGCTGTGCTAGCAGGGAAGATGCAGAGATAGGGATCCAGAACACCCAAAATAATCATATGTAGCCGAAAATCAACCTGACTTTATTTTCCTAGACTCAGAACTATTAATTTACTACTCCCTGCCACCACAGACTTGGATAAGCATTAGCAAATTAAGATGGGATTCCACAGCATTGTTAAACTGCTTGGGGTACAGATGTTCCCAAAAATGAGTACTCTGAGAAACCCCCAGAATCGGTTTGTGGAACTGTGATTTACTGACTGTTTTCTATAGAAATTTTCTATTTCTATCAAATGCTTTGCCATTTCTTTAAGTTTCAAGCTTTAACAGTCCAAAAAGGCAAAAACTTGCCTCAGACCTTTTCACGGAGAGCCTCATGTAGAACTTAATGTATGTGTTGTCCTTAATTGGTGTACCACATAGACTCCCCAGAGCTCTAAAACAGAACTTAATGAATTCTTCTCCTAAGTCCTGAAAGATATGCCAATGTTCCATTGATCCATCTCATTTTCCTTAGCTCAATCTTTTCAAATAATGTACAAAGTCATTTTCTTTTTTGAGTTTAGTTAAACCTTTATGTTCCTTTATGCATTCTTTTCCTTGCATCAATAAAGATTAGAATCTCTGTCTTAGTTGACTTCTGCATAACTAGCTCCCCTGTATTATTTATATAATTGTTGTATAGGCTGTAATACGATATAGCTTAGCTTGTCACTGTGCTGTATTCTGCAGTACATTCCCCTCCTGTGAATTGTTCAATCGCACTATCATTTGTCAGGGTAATACATTGTTGCCTCCCTGACCCATTGTACTAAAGTGCAGGTAGAATTCCTACGTTCTCAAGTGATGGTAGCCTCACTCTTGCTAGGCAGGCACTCTACCACTTGAGCCACTCTGCCAGCCCTACCCTATGTCTTTAAAGTATATTAATGTGCATTGCAGGTAGCCTTTTAGCCTTTTTATCCCTCCCCACCTTTTTCTGTGCTGGGGATTAAATCCAGGGCCTCACACATGCTTGTGCTCTACCACTGAGCTATTCTCCACCTCCTTGAAGATAACTTTTTTTTTTGGTGGGACTGGGGTTCATGCTTGGAACTACTGTTGAACAACACTTCCCGTTCATTTTGCTCTAGTTACTTTGGAGATGGGGGTCTCTTGAACTATTTGCCCTGGCTAGCCTTGAACCTGATCCTCCTGATCCCAGTCTCCCAAGTAGCTAGGATTACAGACATGAGTTATTGTGTCCAGATTGAGGGTAATTTTTGATAACCTCGTTTTCAAAGCTATAGTGTCAAAGTGCAGCATGGTAGTTGAAGTATCTATATAAGTGAAGAAGGACCCCTGAGTCTCCTTCACCATTCCTACCTGCATGCACTTTCTGTCTCTCTTTTTTTTTTTTTTTTGCGGTACTGGGACTTGAACTCAGGACCGACACCTGGGGGCACTCCACCAGCCCTTTTTTGTGAAGGGTTTGTTTTGTTGTTGTTGTTGTTGTTGTTTTTGAGATAGGGGTCTCATAAACTATTTGCCTGGACTGGCTTTGAACTGTGATCCTCCTGATCTCTGCCTGCTGAGTAGCTAGGATTACAGGCATGAGCTACTGGCACCTGGCTTGCATGCACTTTCTATAGTCTGAAGATCAAGGACTTAGCTTCAGTTCAGTCCTGAATTCAATATCACCTTCATCATCTGCTTACTGTGTGATCTGGGATGAGTCTTTACTATAAAACAAAAATAATACTTCAGCTGAGTGCCAGTGACTCATATTTGAAATTCCAGCTTCTCAGGAGGCAGAGATCAGGAGGATTGTATTTTGAAGCCAACCCGGGCAAATAGTTCATGAGACCCTATTTCAAAATAACCTTTTACAAAAACAGGGTTGGTGGAGTGACTCAAATAGTAGAACCTCTGCCTACCAAGCATGGGGCCCTGAGTTCAAACCCCAGTACCACCAGAAAAAGAAATAATAATTCTTCAGGGTTTTTGCATGGATGAAGAGGGCAATAATGTGGGTTAGGTAGCTAAGTGGTAGAGCACTTGCTCAGCTAGCTTCCATCCCCTGCACTGCAAAAATAAATAAATAAATAAAAAAGAGGGCAATGCATGTTAAAGAAACTGACCAAGAAAAAGTGCTCTCCAAATGTCTGTTGACTTTTCAGCTCCCTTAATCTTTTCTTTCTTGGCTCTCTTCAGTGTCAGTGTCTGTTGTTTCCTCTGTACCCAGTCACTCCCTCTCCAGAATATTATGTCCTTTAAAATGGCAGAGATTTTATCTTGCTTGTCCACTGAATCCCTTCCATCTAGAACAACACCAGGCATGTAATAAATACTGGTTATACGAGTGAATCACTGCCTTTAATTATCACCACTGCTATGCATTGCTAGTCTATGAGCCTTTGAGTTTGTTTTTGGGTGTGGAGTGAGATAAGACATTCTTTTACATATGGATATCCAGTTGTCCCAGTATCATTTGGTTAAAATAATTATTTTCCCATTTAATTGTCTTGGCATCATTGTTGAAAATCAATTAATCATAGACATATATATGATCTTATTTATAGACTCTAAAATAATTTTTTTGGGCAGTACAGTAAACCCACCTTATTTGTGGCTTTATTGCAGGCACTTTTGACCATACCTGGTCCAAAACAATTAATTAATTTTTTAAAAATCAAAAGAAATTTGAAAAACAAAATAATTTAAATTCCCATGCTCAGTTGATGCAGAGAAGCTCTCAGTCAGTCCCTCATTATTGTCAGTTGTGTTTAAGTGATAAAGTGAAAACTTTCTTTTTTTCTTTTCTTTTTTTTTTTTTTTTTGTGAGTACTGGGGGTTTGAACTCAGGGCCTCATGCTTGCTAGGCAGACACTTACCACTTGAGCCACTCCACCAGCCCATTTTCAGATTTTTTGAAAGGTGAGATGTCTTTAGTGGAAATTGGGCAGTTATAAGAAAAATGAATGAAGTATCCACAGTAACAGTATTGACCTTTTTGCATCCTCAGCATTTGCAGTTTTTCTTCAACAGCTGTCTCCTTGAAGCCACAGACCCTCAGATACCAAGGGTCTACCGTACTGGGGTCTGAACTCAGGGTCTCATGCTTGCTAGGCAGGTGCTCCACCACTTGAACCACTCCACCAACCCGAGTTTTTGTTTTTATATGTATTTATTTAGTTAGTTAATTTGCTGTGCTGGGGATCAAACACAGAGCCTGTGCATGCTAGGCAAGTGCTAGACCACTGAGCTAGCCTCAGATGATGTGTTTTCAAGCTAATTATAATCATTTTGCTTGAACTGTTTAGCTACTTATGTCTGATTATGCTGCATGAAATAATTATGAGTATATTATTAAATATGCCATATTAACTTTTGAATTAGTTTATTTGATCATAACAGTAAGCCATATGCAGGTACATTCAGTTTTCCAAGATCATTTCTTAAGTTGTTTGGTTTCTGCTTATGCAGCACCTAAAAACAATTATAGAAAACCACTGGTTGTAATTCATCTGTTACTATCTTTTAAATGACTCAAGGACAGTTGTGAGATTATCTTTTCATGGCTATTTGCCTTTTGAGTGTTCTTCCTACAAAAGAAAGTAACTTGAATTGTTCTTTTCTTTCTTTATAATTTATAGATTTTGTATGCTGAAACTTCTCAACCAGAAGAAAGGGCCTTCACGGTGTCCTTTGTGTAAGAATGATATAACCAAAAGGTATATAATTTGTGTAATCATGGTAGGTTGGGAAGCAACCTACAATGGCAGGAAGAAGTAGAAATTCTTTAATAATATAGCTGTGCTCCTATGAAACCATTCATCAGTAGAAAAATGTATAAAAATGTCTTTAGCAGAGTAAATTATTTCTAAAGTTATTTTCCTTAAAGTTTTATGAGACATCTGCCTTATATATGTATTAGCAACTTAATGCTTTTTTCTCCCATCCAAATACTAACCAGGCCTAACTTCCAATATCAAATGAAACAGGGTTGCAAACAGGATATCATGACCATAAACAATGTATTGCCTTTATCTAAGGCTTCTGAATAATGCAAGAACTCACAGTCTTATCTAAAATAGCGCTGTACTACCCTGACCCAATTGTTAATCCTGCTTTTATTTTTTCATTGCTTTGACTTCTATTTACCTACACACAGTGTATTTATACATTGTGTGTTATTCCTACCACAGTGTAAGTTCTACTAGGGCATTGATTTTTGTCCCTCTCAAGCAATACTGTTTCTCCAATGTCTGGTACAGAGAGGCACTCAGATATTTAAAGGAATAAATTATATTTTCCTTCCAATTTCCTAACCCAAATTTCTCTTTTAAAATTGATATCAATCTACTTTCAAAGTGATGTAGTCATAATTTGGTGGAAATGCCTGGGAAGGAGAGCTAGTAGTGAGAGATTGGGTAGGGTTTGGATGGTAAGAATAGTGAATTCTCAGCTGGTACAGTGGCTCCTGCCTGTAATCCGAGTCACTCAGGAGACAGAGATCTGGAGGATTGCAATTCAAGGCCAGATCCTGCAAAAAGTTTTCGAGACCCCATCTCAACCAATAAAAGCTGTGCATGGTGGCATGTGTCTGTCTTCCTACCTAAGCAAGAAGAATAAATAGGAGGATTGCATTCCAGGCCGCCCCAGCAAAAACACAAGACCCTATTAGAAAATAACTAAAGCAAAAGGGCTAGGGTATGACTCAAGTGGTAGAGCCCCTGCCTAGCAAGCATAAGACCCTGAGTTCAAACCCCAGTACCACCACCACACACACAAAAAAAAAAGAATAGTAAGTTCTCTATGCAGTGGATGTGTATCTATTATAGATTCAGGGTAGCATTATGCTAGGTAGTTTTAGGCTTTTGGTGGACTTACATGAATACCAAAAAATTATTAAAAAAAAAATACTGCTACACAGTTTATTCTGATATCAATGATATAGTGATTAGTGTAGTGTTACTAATAGTTCTTTGAATATGGATTTTCTACTATGACTGTAGTAGAAACTGTTATAATCTATTTGTTTACATATTTCCTTATTTTAATGTCCTTAAAAGCTGATAATCACTTGCTAATTATGTCTCTCAATTTAATTTCAGAAGTCTACAAGAAAGTACAAGATTTAGTCAACTTGTTGAAGAGCTATTGAAAATCATTCATGCTTTTGAGCTTGACACAGGATTGCAGTGTAAGTGTTGCATAGCCCCAGAGGCAGTGCTCAAGTGGCTGTCCAGAAAAACTCAGGAGGTTCTCACTATTTTTTTTCCTTGAATAAGTGATAGGACCTTTTGGTCTAAGTTAATTTAGCTTTGCATCTTCAATCTATATTTTAAATCACTTCCATCAGCCTTACACCGTATTCTATCAATCCTAAAATGCACATCTTTCAGATCTTAACATCTATGAAATAGGGAGTGTTTTATCATCAGTGGTGTGCCATTGTTTAATTCGTTGTTTTCTTTAGTGATAAAATGATACATCACGCATTGTTGTCTTAGATTCAGTATTAATAGGCAAGTTTATTAGTTACAAGGTGGAAAAAAAATAACCTTGATAGTCTCTGTATTTATTTGTTTGTGTTAGGAGTAGAATTTCCAAAGTTGATTTTTTTAAAATTATAGGTAACTTTGATGCATTACCCTTTTTTTTTTTTTTTAATGGAGTACAGGAGTGGCTGAGACACTTTCACTGTGTAGTCCAAGTTGGCCTCAAACTCGAAATCCTGCCTCAATCTCCTGAGTGTGGGATTATAGGAGTGCCCCACCATACGTGGCAGTGTACTATCTTAACACAATGGCTAGCAAACACAGGGTTTTCTGTTTCTTTAATGAAATTTAATATACTTTTTTAATTTCACAGTTGCAAATAATTATAACTTTTCAAAAAAGGAAAATAACTCTCCTGAACATTTAAAGGAGGAGGTTTCTATCATCCAAAGTATGGGCTACCGAAATCGTGCCAAAAGACTTCGGCAGAGTGAACCAGAAAATCCTTCCATGGTAAAGCCATTTTCATTTCTTCTGGCAGCATCTCTTTATTAAGCATCATGAATTAGTGAATATGCTAGATGCTCTTGGATTTATATGAAAGGAAAGTAGTAAACTGAGTGATTGGACAAGTGTCCTGCTCAGAGTTAGAGAGGTTTGGGAAGGTCACCTGTGGTCAGGAGAAGCCTTCCAGGCCCTTCCCCTGCTTGGAGCTTTCATCTCTGAAGCTTGTCTGTAATAGTTACAAGGCTACTGATTTTTTTTAAGCAACTTAAAAGGTGTAATTGTCAAAGAAAATGCAGTGATTTGTTTTGTTGTTACTCATTTGGTAATAAAAAATGTATATTATACATATAATTATATATAATACATAATTAACAGTTTTGGAAATTTTTCCAACAACAGAAAGGGAAAAACATTCAAATCACATACAACCCAGACATTTTATTTTACCCTTCTTTCTTGTCTGCGGTACTGGGAGCTTAAACTCAGGACATACCTTGAGCCATTGCACCAGCCCTTTTTTGTGAAGGTTTTTTTTGAGGCAGGGTCTCGTGGAACTATTTTGCCTGGGCTGGCTTTGACCCTCAATCCTCCTGATCTTTGATTCCTGAGTGGCTGGGATTACAGGTGTGAGCCACCAGTGCCAGGCACATATTATTCTATTTTGTTTTATTTTGACTTTTTGAGACAAGGTTTACAGTGTAACCCAGGCTGACTAACCCAGACGTTTTAGTGGATAGTTTACCTGGCATTTTTCCCAAAGTGTCATAAATTTTAGTTAACTGATTATGGTTGATTCGTTTTGTCCATGGCTTCAAGTTTCTCTTTAGGAAAAAGGCACAGAACTGGCCAAAAATTGGTTGACCATCCTTTACTGTACTGTTTAGCAGGAAACCAGTCTTAGTGTCCAACTCTCTAACCTTGGAATTATGAGATCTCTGAGGACAAAGCAGCAGATACAACCTCGTAATAAATCAGTCTATATTGAATTGGGTGAGTGTCCAATTTTGTACATTCAAATTAATAGTTTTAGATTTCTTGTCATACAATTTTACCAGAAACCTTGGGCATAATTTTTACGTGTGGCAAGAAACTTTGGGAAGTAAAAAATAAATAATTTCGCAGGGGGCCGCTATGGTGCGTTATTAATAATGTAAAAGATGCAGTTGCTCTGGGGACATGGCCCAAGTGCTAGAACACCTGCCTAGGAAGTGCAAGATCCTGAGTTCAAACCCCAATACTGAAAAAAATAAATAAGAATTGGGGAGGATGGTTCTCTTTTGAGCTCCCAAACAGTGCCATATATTTACCATTACACTTAATGGATTTCATTGAAATTACCTGTATGTCTCTCACCTATAAGATAATTAATTTATGTACGTCAGGTATTATGTCAGAATCATTATAATATGTTACAATTTGTTATGTTACAATCATTATAATAGTTAATACTTAAGTGTATTCCAGGAGTTTTTTGGTTTTTTTGTTTTTTTTTTTTTGTGGTACTGGGGTTTGAACACAGGACATCACGCTTGCTAGGCATTTGTTCTACTATTTGAGCCACTCCATGAGCCCAATTATGCTTTTTTTTGGAATAACTCATTTGACATGCATATCAAACCTCTGAGATTGTTATTATTACACTGATTTTATAAATGAAAATTTTGAGGGAGGCAGTGCTGGTGTTTTGAACTCCTAGCTTTGCACTTGCTAAGCAGGTGCTCTGCCACTTGAGCCACACACCCAGCCCACAGATGAATGAATTCACAGATTAAGAAATTTTTTCAAGTTAGTAATGCTAGCAAATGTGTGAACTGTGGATTAAAACGTAGAAAGGTGGCTTCAGAGCCTGTGCTTTCAGCCACTTTTCTGTATTGCCTGACATACATATTGTGCCTGCCACCTAGTGAGTGCTCAGTAAATATTTGTAGATGAATATCTGTTTTGCAACAAATACATTTTCTTACTTCATTCTTTTAATTAAAACACTTACTGACTGTTTTGGGGGGGTTGGGGACAATTTTTTTAGGATCTGATTCTTCTGAAGATACAGTTAATAAGGCAAATTATTGCAGGTGAGTCAAAAAGATCCTTTGTCTATGGTATTTTCATATCTAGTTAATGTTTAAGATTTTGTGTTTTCCTAAATTAGAATCATGGTTTTATTTTTTTGTATATTTTTTAATACTTAGATTTAAAAAAAATTATTATTATTAATTTATTCACATGTGTGTACATTGGGTCATTTCTCCCCTCTATCCCCCTTCCCCACCCCTCCTCCCCTCCCCCCCTCACTTCCAGGCAGAACTTCTTCTGCCCTTATCTCTAATTTTGTTGAAGAGGAGACATAAGCATAATAAGGAAGACAAAGTGTTTTTGCTAATTGAGTTAAGGTTAGCTATACAGAAAGATTCCTAGCATTGCTTTCGTGTACAAATGTGTTACAATCCAAATTGATTCATCTCTAACTGATCTTTACACTGCCTCCTGATCTCCTTCTCATGTTAACCTCTATTGCTTTAAGGTTTCTGTATTAATTCCTCTGGAGTGGGGACATCAAATGCTATCATGTTTTGGGTTTTCTACGTATTCCCATATCTCCCATGTGTGCTCTCCCCTTGTCATGTGATCCAAGTCCAACCATATTGCTGCATTTGCCCTAGATCTAAAGTCCGCATATGAGGGAGAATAGAATCGTGGTTTTAGGAGAAACCTTAGCGGTACCTAGTTTCATCTTCTCATTTTATACCTGAGGAAATCCTTTTTATTGTTTATTTCACTTATTTATTTGTAATGCTCAAAGGAGTTTAGAATAACAGTAGAACTCTACACACTTGCTTCTACTGGATGGTGGTTCTCTAGCTGAATTTTTCATATATGGTAGTATTGATGCAGTGGTAATTGTGGATGAAAATATTAAAGGACTCCATTTTCAGTTCTTGCGTCTGTTCTTTAATTCTACCTATCTCCTAAACATTGTCTGTATGTATTATATAATAACATATAAGTAGGTCCCACTTACGCTAACTGCCAGATTGTTATTAGGAATTATTGCTTGACCCTGACTAAGATCTGTAATAACTGGTCTGAATGTGGATGGTGTCATTATCAATTAGTTTTTGTTTGGAAATGATTTTTTCCTAATCTTAAAATTGGAAGGAAGCAAGCCAGGTGCTCATGGCTTATGCCTGTAATCCGAGCTACTTGGGTGGCTGAGATTGGGAGAATCATGGTTTGAGGCTAGCCTGGGCAAATAGTTCATGAGACCCCCCCTCAGCTCCAAAATAAAGACAAAAATGAACTGGTGGGCTGTACAAGTGGTAGAGTGCCTACTTTACAAGAGCTGCTTTGCAAATTCAAAGTCCTGAGTTCAAACTTCAGTCCTTCAAAAAAAATTGGAAGGAAGTGGTTTTAGCCTGAATAAAAGCATAGGAAGCAATGTAGCTTTCCAGTCCATTTATATGTCTTCTATCTATCTTTTGGAAATCATTTAAATTTTGGTTCTCACTTTCATGTCCATAAAGCAATGTTTTATACTACCACTCTGTTTTTATAACTGTGTGTTTTCAGTCTTTGATCATTCCATTGTGACTAGAAGTTACTTAAGGGAGAAAGCTGATTTCAAAAAGTAAATCAGACTGGTCAGCTACTATAACCCTGCCTAGGGGAGTGAAAATACTTGATCTTGCTCGTTTGGTAGATCTGTGAACACATAACTAGTGTTTCTCATTAAAACTTCTGTCTTTTCTCCTTTAGTGTGACAGACCAAGAATTGTTACAGATCACCCCTGAAGGAGCCAGGGCTGAAGCCAGTTTGGATTCTGCAAAGAAGGGTAATGGCAAGTCTTCCCAATTTAATAGGCAGTGAAGAGAGAGTGGGTAGATATAGTACTGTAATTAGATTATTCTGAAAACCATTTGGGGCATTTATAATTTACAACATTTCTTGGCAGAGTTAGAATAGTATTTTTTCCTCAGATGTCATAGTACAGCCTGATGTATTTCAGTGATACAAGATTGATGTGATTATAATAATACCTTACACAATTGCTTGTTGCCTTTTACTTTCTTTTGCTTATTGAGACAGGGTCTTGCTGTATAGCCCAAGCTGGCTCAGTATCTCAAAGTGCTGAAATTATAGGCACGTGCCACTGCACCCAGCTGCCATTTGTTTTTTAGTTGCTATATTTGTATTTCATCATTTGCCAACTGGTTTTTAAATGTAGGAACATAGGTCTGCAAATAGAGCAGAGTACTATATGTCTGATGACCAAAGAGTCTGCTTTTAATTTACTCTTAGAGGACTGGAAGTGTGGCTCAAGCGGTAAAATGCCTGCTTTGCAAGTGTGAAGCCCTGAATTCAAATCACAGTTCCACACACACAAAAAAAAGACCTGTGAGTTAATTTACTCTTCCTAGGGGAAGTAGGAGATGTGATCTAATTATCTCAAGTGGAAATAATGAGATTCTAGATAAATAGGAATTACATGAAAGGGTATAAGTCACATCTTCAGTGTATTTGGCAGTTTATGATGTTAGTTTCTCTGAAAAAACTAGTTGGTTGATTTCTATTCCAGTTTGTATTAGGCATATATTTTTTCATGATAATTCAGTTTTTGAGCACCTTGTTATTTTTGTATATTTTCAGCGGCTTGTGAGTTTTCTGAGAAGGCCATAACAAATATTGAGCACCATCAATCCAGTAATAAAGACTTGAACACCACTGGGAAGCATGCAACTGAGAGACATCCAGAAAAGTATCAGGGTATTTCTGTTTCAAACTTGCATGTGGAGCCATGTGGCACAAATACTCGTGCCAGCTCATTACAGCATGAGAACAGCAGTTTATTACTCACTAAAGACAGAATGAATGTAGAAAAGGCTGAATTCTGTAATAAAAGCAAACAGCCTGGCTTAGCAAGGAGCCAACAGAACAGATGGGCTGAAAGTAAGGAAACATGTAATGATAGGCAGATTCCCAGCACAGAGAAAAAGTTAGATCTGATTGCTGATCCCCTCTGTGGGAGAAAAGAACAGAATATGCAGAAACCACCATGCTCTGAGAATCCTAGAGATACCCAAGATGTTCCTTGGATAACACTAAATAGCAGCATTCAGAAAGTTAATGACTGGTTTTCCAGAAGTGATGAAACGTTAACTTCTGGTGACTCATATGATGGGGGGTCTGAATCAAATGCTGAAGTAGCTAGTGCATTAGAAGTTCCAAATGAAGTAAATGGAAATTCTGGTTCTTCAGAGAAAATTGACTTACTGGCCACTGATCCTTGTAATGCTTTAATAAGTAAAAATGAAAGAATCTGCCCCAAGCCAGTAGAGAATAATATTGAAGATAAAATATTTGGAAAAACTTATCGGAGGAAGGCAAGCCTCCCTAACTTGAGCCATGTAACTGAAAATCTTATTGTGGAAGCATTTCCCGCAGAACCACAAATAACACAAGAGCATCCTCTCACAAATAAAGTAAAGCGTAAAAGGAAAACTACATGCCTTCATCCTGAGGATTTTATCAAGAAAGCAGACTTGACTGTTCAAAAGACTTCTAAAAAGATAAATCAGGGAACTGACCAAATGGAGCAGAATGGTCTAGTGATGAATATTACTAATAGTGGTCATGAGAATGAAACAAAAAGTGATTATGTTCAGAAAGAGAAAAATACTAACCCAGTAGAATCATTGGAAAAACATTCTGCTTTCAGAACTAAAGCTGAACCTATAAGCAGCAGTATAAACAATATGAAACTAGAATTAAATATCCACAACCCAGAAGCACCTAAGAAAAATAAGCTGAGGAGAAAGTCCTCTGTCAGGCATATTCATGCACTTGAACTAGTAGTCAGTGGAAATCCAAGCCCATCTAATTATAATGAACTAGAAATTGATAGTTGTACTAGCAGTGAAGAAAAAAAGAGACACAGTTCCAACCAAATGCCAGTCAGGCGTGGCAGAAAGCTTCAGCTCACTGAAGATCTAGAACCTGCAACTGCAGTTGAGAATAACCAGCCAAATGAACATGTGGGTAAAAGACATGGCAGTGATGCTTTCCCAGAACTGAAGTTAACAAACATACCTGTTTATTGTTCAGGTTCTAATAAACTTCAAGAATTTGTCAATCCTAGCCTTCAGAGAGAAAAAATAGAAGAAAGCCTAGAAACAATTCAAGTGTCTAAAGACCTTAAAGATCTGGTATTAAATGGGGTAAAGGGTTTGCCAGCTGAAAGATCTGCAGATAGTACCAGTATTTCATTGGTACCTGATACTGATTATGGCACTCAGGACAGTATATCATTACTGGAAGGTAGTACACTTAGGAAGGCAAAAACCACATCAAATCAATGTGTGACTCAGTATGTAGCCATTGAAAACTCCAAGGAACTTAACCGTGATTGTTCTAAAGATAGTAGAAATGACACAGAGGGCTTTAAGGATTCATTAAGACATGAAGTTAACCACATTCAGGAGACAAACCTAGAAATGGAAGAGAGTGAACTTGATACTCAGTATTTGCAGAACATATTCCAAGTTTCAAAGCGTCAGTCATTTGCTCTATTTCCAAGTCCAGGAAATCCAGAAAAAGGATATGCAACAGTCTATGCCCACTCCATGCCCTTAAGGAAGCAAAGTCCAAATATCACTCTTGAATGTGAACAAAGAGAAGAAAATCAGGGCAAAGAACACTCTAAAACCAAGCATGTGCAGGCAATTAACACCATTGTGGACTTTCCTGTGATTTGTCAGAAAGATAAACCAGGTGATAATGCCAAGTGTGGCATTGCAAGAGTCTCTAGGCTTTGTCCATCATCTCAGTTCAGAGGCAGTGAACTCATTACTACAGATAAACATGGAATTTCACAAAATCCATATCTTATTCCATCAATTTCTCCCATCAAGTCATTTGTTAAAATTAAATGCAAGGAAAATTTGTCAAAGGAAAGACTTGAGAAACATTCACTGTCACCTAGAAAAGCAATGGGAAACGGAAACATCATTCAAAATGCAGTGCATGTAATTAGCCAAAATAACACAAGAGAAAATGCTCGTAAAGAAGCCAGCTCAGGCAGTACTAATGAAGTAGGCTCCAGTATTAATGAAGTAGGTTCCAGTAGTGAAAACATTCATATGGAACTAGGTAGAAACAGAGGACCTAAATTAAATTCTGTGCTTAGATTAGGTCTTATGCAACCTGAAGTCTATAAACAAAGTCTTCCTGTAAGTAATTATAAACATCCTGAAATACAAAAGCAAGGAGAAAATGAAGTTGTACTTCAATCTGTTAGTGTAGATTTCTCTCCACATCTAACTTCAGATAACCTAGAACCACCTATGAGAAGTACTCATGTCTCTCAGGTTTGTTCTGAGACACCTGATGACCTGTTAGATAACAATGAAATAAAGGAAAATACCAGCTTTGCTGAAGATGTCATTAAGGAAACCTCTGCTGTTTTCAGCAAAAATATCCAGAGAGGAGAGTTCAGCAGGAGCCCTCGCCCTTTAATCCACACATCTTTGACCCAGGGTCATCAGAGAGGGGCCAGGAACTTAGAGTCTTCGGAAGAGAGTCTGTCCAGTGAGGGCGAAGATCTTCCGTGCTTCCAACACTTACTATTCAGTAAAGTAACCAATATACCTCAGTCTAACAGACATAGCACTCTTGTGACAGAGTATCTGTCTAAGAAGACAGGGGAGAACTTAGTGCCATTGAAGAAAAGTTTGAATGACTGCACTAACGAGGTGATCTTAGTGAAGGCATCCCAGGAACATCATCTTCATGAGGAAGCAAAATACTCTGGTAGCTTGTTTTCTTCACAGTGCAGTGCATTAGAAGACTTGGCTACAAATACAAACTCCCAGGATCCCTTCTTAATGTTTGATTCTCCTTCCAAACAAATGAGGCATCAGTCTGAGAACAAAGAAGTTGTTCTGAGTGGCAAGGAATTGGTTTCAGATGATGAAGAAAGGGAAAATGGCCTGGAAGAAGATAATCATGATGAAGAAGACTGTGTGGATTCAAACTTAGGTATTGGAACCAGGTTTTTGTTTTTTGTTTTTTGTTTTTTCCCAAATCTATTTAATAGGAATGAACTAAATGTTTATGCCTTTTTGGGGGAGCAAGTTTTGTGAGTCTCCAAGTACAGTTAAATTGACTGCTACAGCCTGGTGCCAGTGGCTCACATCTATAATCCTAACTACTTGGGAGATTGAGATGGGGAGATTGCACTTTAAGGCCAGCCCAGGCAAAAAAGTTTGCGAAACCCCATCTCAGTGGAAAAAAAGATGGGTGTGGTGGCATGCACCTGTTGTCCCAGTGACTGCAGGAAGCTTAAAATAGGATTGTGATCCAGGCTGGCCTGGGCAAAACACCAGACCCTTTCTCTAAAATAACCAAAGCAAAAAGGGGTGGAGGTATGGCTCAAGCAGTAGAGTGCCTGCCTTGTGTAAATGTGAAGCCCTGATTTCAAATCCCAGTACCCTCAAAAAAAAAAAAAAAAAAATTTAGTGCTACTTAAACTTGAAAGTTGTTCCTCCTAAGATTTTTTCCTAAAAAGTCAGCAGTCCCTCACACAGCTAGAACATCTGTGACTGAATGAACTTTAATGCCCTAATTGTTGGTAGACTTGCTTCCAGTTTTTATTACTAGGATTTCTATGGTGTCTCAAAGCAAGGAGTTTAATCATTTTATGTGACATGAAAGTAGAACCATTCCTGCCAATGGGAAGAAACAGATTCAGCAAGTTGCAGTATTTGTGGTCTATTTTTACATCTGAATTTATTTCTTACTGTTTAAGGTGAAGTGGCACCTGGGTATGAGAGTGAGACAAACCTCTTTGAAGACTGCTCAGGGCTGTCCTCACAGAGCGACATTTTAACCACTCAGGTAAAAGCATATGTGCATACATATGAGATGGTCATTTGCACGCCGTGATATGTAAACTATTCTTATATCTAATGTCATTTTGGATTGATGCCATGTATATATGATACCTTATCTCCTCCAATTAAATTGTAAGCCCCTTGATGTAACTCATACTACATTTTATATCGTGCACACATACACATGCCATCTAGCTCACTGTAGAATCTAAATCTTACTAACAAGCTGAACTTTGAGTGATTTTCTTTTTTTGGCAGTACAGGGATTTTGAACTCTGGGCTTCACACTTGCTAGGCTGGCACTCTACCACTTGAGCCACTCCACCAGCTAAGCTAAACTTTAAAAACCCATTTCTCCCATAGCAAAAGCATGTATGACAGCATGATCATAGCAAGAGAGGATTATATTTATTCATGGTGCCAATTTGGAAGCTACAGAATTCTTTTTTTATTGGAGACCATTTAGGCTTTCACTGTTTTGTTTTTAATTACTTTCTGTTTTTGTCTTTCATGACAAACTAGTTACTGCCTGGAAGTCATATTTTTTTCTTTAAAAAAGAAAATACACAATTTTACTTCCTGGCCTAGTAGTTAAAGCCAATCATTTGGTTACTTTTGAAGGTGAGAACTACAACATTGGGTAATGTGAATGTTTCTGTACTCGAGGCAGGACAATCTCCTTGGAAAAGCATTAGCTTCCTCATGCAATGTGGCTGGCTCTGTCTCCTAATTTTTATTTCGTAAAAGTGGTACCAAAATTTTCCAATTTCTCCTATTCAAAAAAAAAATCTGTATTGTCACATATTTAGCTCCCACTAGATTGACAATCTCTTACAGTTACCTCTTTGTACTCCTAGTACAGGGTCCTATGCGGAAAAAATACACAGCAATTGCTTGCAATAATACTGGTAAGAGTCCTTTGTAAGTGGCTGTGTGACTTTAGGTAATTTGCCTACCTTTTCTCAACTGATAGTAAGCACATTCTTTAAATGAAGCTATCTGGACACCTTTGAAATCACCCTGTTGTAACTTCTTTTCCTCACCCTAAATCATAAGTGCACTTTTTTTTTTAATTTATTTTTTTATTATTCATATGTGCATACAATGCTTGGATCATTTCTCCCCCCTGCCCCCACACCCTCCCTTACCACCATCCCGCCTCCTCCCTCTCCCCCCCACCCCCTCGATACCCGGCAGAAACTATTTTGTCCTTATCTCTAATTTTGTTGAAGAGAGAGTATAAGCAATAATAGGAAGGGTTTTTGCTAGTTGAGATAAGGATAACTATACAGGGAGTTGACTCACATTAATTTCTTCTGCATGTGTGTTACCTTCTAGGTTAATTCTTTTTGATCTAACCTTTTCTCTAGTTCCTGGTCCCCTTCTTCTATTGGCCTCAGTTGCTTTAAGGTATCTGCTTTAGTTTCTCTGCTTGAGGGCAACAAATGCTAGCTATTTTTTAGGTGTCTTACCTATCCTCACCCCTCCTTGTGTGCTCTCGCTTTTATCATGTGCTCAAAGTCCAATCCCTTGTTGTGTTTGCCCTTGATCTAATGTCCACATATGAGGGAGAACATACGATTTTTGGTCTTTTGGGCCAGGCTAACCTCACTCAGAATGATGTTCTCCAATTCCATCCATTTATCAGTGAATGATAACATTTCGTTTTTCTTCATGGCTGCATAAAATTCCATTGTGTATAGATACCACATTTTCTTAATCCATTCGTCAGTGGTGGGGCATCTTGGCTGTTTCCATAACTTGGCTATTGTGAATAGTGCGCAATAAACATGGTGTGCAGGTGCCTCTGGAGTAACCTGTGTCACAGTCTTTTGGTATATCCCCAAGAGTATTGCTGGATCAAATGGTAGATCAATGTTAGCTTTTTAAGTAGCCTCCAAATTTTTTTCCAGAGTGGTTGTACTAGTTTACATTCCCACCAACAGTGTAAGAGGGTTCCTTTTTCCCCGCATCCTCGCCAACACCTGTTGTTGGTGGTGTTGCTGATGATGGCTATTCTAACAGGGGTGAGGTGGAATCTTAGTGTGGTTTTAATTTGCATTTCCTTTATTGCTAGAGATGGTGAGCATTTTTTCATGTGTTTTTTGGCCATTTGAATTTCTTCTTTTGAGAAAGTTCTGCTTAGTTCACTTGCCCATTTCTTTATTGGTTCATTAATTTTGGGAGAATTTAGTTTTTTAAGTTCCCTATATATTCTGGTTATCAGTCCTTTGTCTGATGTGTAGCTGGCAAATATTTTCTCCCACTCTGTGGGTGTTCTCTTCAGTTTAGAGACCATTTCTTTTGTTGAGCAGAAGCTTTTTAGTTTTATGAAGTCCCATTTATCTATGCTATCTCTTAGTTGCTGTGCTGCTGGGGTTCATTGAGAAAGTTCTTACCTATACCTACTAATCCAGAGTATTTCCTACTCTTTCCTGTATCAACTTTAGAGTTTGTGTCTGATATTAAGATCCTTGATCCATTTTGAGTTAATATTGGTATAGGTTGATATACATGGATCTAGTTTCAGTTTTTTGCAGACTGCTAACCAGTTTCCCAGCAGTTTTTGTTGAAGAGGCTTTTTCTCCATCGTATATTTTTAGCTCCTTTGTCAAAGACAAGTTGTTATAGTTGTGTGGCTTCATATCTGGGTCCTCTATTCTGTTCCACTGGTCTTCATGTCTGTTTTTGTGCCAGTACCATGCTGTTTTTATTGTTATTGCTTTGTAATATAGTTTGAAGTCGGGTATTGTGATACCTCCAGCATTGTTGTTTTTGACTATTGTCTTGGCTATTCGTGGCCTCTTGTGTTTCCATATAAATTTAATGGTAGATTTTTCAATCTCTTTAATGAATGTCATTGGAATTTTGATGGGAATTGCATTAAACATGTAGATTACTTTTGGGAGTATAGACATTTTTACTATGTTGATTCTACCAATCCATGAGCATGGGAGATCTCTCCACTTTCTATAGTCTTCCTCAATCTCTTTCTTCAGAAGTTTATAGTTTTCCTTGTAGAGGTCATTCACATCTTTTGTTAGGTTTACACCTAGGTATTTGATTTTTTTTTGAGGCTATTGTAAATGGAATTGTTTTCATATTCTTTTCAGTTCATTTAGTGTATAGAAATGCTAATGATTTTTCTATGTTGATTTTATATCCTGCTACCTTGCTATAGCTATTGATGATGTCTAGAGCTTCTGAGTAGAGTTTTTTGGGTCTTTAAGGTATAGGATCATGTCGTCTGCAAATAGGGATATTTTGACAGTTTCTTTACCTATTTGTATTCCTTTTATTCCTTCTTCTTGCCTAATTGCTCTGGCTAGGAATTCCAGTACTATGTTGAATAGGAGTGGAGATAGTGGGCATCCTTGTCTGTTCCTGATTTTAGAGGAATGGTTTCAGTTTTTCTCCATTAAGTATAATGCTGGCTGTAGGTTTGTCATATATAGCTTTATAATGTTGATACTTTCCTTCTATTCCTAGTTTTCTTAGAGCTTTTATCATGAAATGTGTTGGATCTTATCAAAGGCTTTTTCTGCATCTATTGAGATGATCAAGTGGTTTTTGCTTTGCTTCTGTTAATGGTTTATTACGTTTATTGATTTTCGTATGTTGAACCACCCCTGCATCCCTGGGATGAAGCCTACTTGGTCGTGGTGAAAATCTTTTTGATGTGTTGTTGAATTCGATTTGCCATTATTTTGTTGAGGATTTTTGCATCAATGTTCATTAAGGAGATTGGCCTATAGTTCTCCTTTTTGGAGGTGTCTTTGCCTGGTTTTGGGATAAGTGTAATACTGGCTTCATAAAATGTGTTTTTTCCTTCCCTTTCTATTTCGTGGAACAGTTTAAGGAGGGTTTGGTATCAGTTCTTCTTTAAAGGTCTGATAGAATTCAGCAAGAATCCATCAGGTCCTGACTTTCTTTTTTGGGGAGACTATGCTGCTTACAATTTCATTTTGTAATATTAGATCTATTCAGGTGATCTTGTACTATGTTGAATAGGAGTGGAGATAGTGGGCATCCTTGTCTGGTTCCTGATTTTAGAGGGAATGGTTTCAGTTTTTCTCCATTAAGTATAATGCTGGCTGTAGGTTTGTCATATATAGCTTTTATAATGTTGAGGTACTTTCCTTCTATTCCTAGTTTTCTTAGAGCTTTTATCATGAAATGGTGTTGGATCTTATCAAAGGCTTTTTCTGCATCTATTGAGATGATCAAGTGGTTTTTGTCTTTGCTTCTGTTAATGTGGTTTATTACGTTTATTGATTTTTATGTTGAACCACCCCTGCATCCTGGGATGAAGCCTACTTGGTCGTGGTGAATAATCTTTTTGATGTGTTGTTGAATTCGGTTTGCCATTATTTTGTTGAGGATTTTTGCATCAATGTTCATTAAGGAGATTGGCCTATAGTTCTCCTTTTTGGAGGTGTCTTTGCCTGGTTTTGGGATAAGTGTAATACTGGCTTCATAAAATGTGTTGGCAGTTTTCCTTCCCTTTCTATTTCATGGAACAGTTTAAGGAGGGTTGGTATCAGTTCTTCTTTAAAGGTCTGATAGAATTCAGCAGAGAATCCATCAGGTCCTGGACTTTTCTTTTTGGGGAGACTCTTGATTGCTGCTTCAATTTCATTTTGTGTTATAGATCTATTCAGGTGATTAATTTCCTCTTGGTTCAGTTTTGGATGATCATATGTATCTAGAAATCTGTCCATTTCTTTAAGATTTTCAAATTTATTTGAATATAGGTTCTCAAAGTAGTCTCTGATGATTTCCTGGACTTCCATGGTGTTTGTTGTTATCTCCCCTTTTGCATTCCTGATTCTACTAATTTGGGTTTTTTCTCTCCTCATTTTAGTCAGGTTTGCCAGGGTCTGTCGATCTTGTTTATTTTTTCAAAGAACCAACTTTTTGTTTCATTAATTCTTTGTATGGTTTTTTTGGTTTCTATTTCATTGATTTCAGCTCTTATTTTTATTATTTCTCTCCTATTTGTTT